CAAATTAGTGAGTAGAGTACAAAATAAGAGATAATCGCCCAGCTTGACTGAATTGATCCCTTGGGTTATAGGATCGATCCCCTCTTATAATGGATTCATTAATTTTTCTTACATAAATAAAATAGATTTGAAAAACACCAAAAAGATCTATCCCATACAAGAAGGGATCAATCAGGTAAGGCACATGATCAATCTCCTATGCCTAAAAAAGCTTCAACAGCTAGTTTTTCAAGTTTCAACGTTTTTTTTTTCAACTCCAAACCTTCCCCAATAGCTAGTTCTTCTATTTTTCTATATATTGAGCATTCCAACACACTAAGAAGGTTGATGAATCAAAAGAGCAAGATTAAACAAATCATATATTCATTCTTTCAAAAAAATCAAGAGTTTTAGAGTTTCAAAGTCTATATCTTTGTATTTATTGTATCAAAATCATTGTTGCTGTTTATTTATCAAATTTTTTGTATGTCATTAGGCAAGCACTCAACCTTAAAAGTTACTTTAGTTTACAAAAATCATTTGAGTTATCTTGTAAACAAAAAGTGAAGTATCATCTTGATATTATAAAGGTAGATATTGTTATCTAAGTCTTAAGAAAAATATAAGAATTTAGTATAAGATAGGTTTGTATCTTGTAAAAGTTTTTCTTCAAATTAATAAATTGAAGTCTTGGTATGGATAACCAAAAAGAGAGAACATAGGTGCCTTGTGGAAAAGGACTGAACCTTTATAAATCATTGTATTTGATTTCTCTATCCCTATCTCTTTACATTTATTGTTGTTTATATTTGATTATAGGTTCATTAATTGTTATTAATTGCATCATATTTTCATCAAAAGTGTTACTGATTTAATTTCGTATTTAATTATCTTGAAATCATTATTTAAGAAAAATTTAGAGAAATTCAATTTATTTCCTATTAGATTACCATTTCATCTAAAAAGCTAATAGTAGGAAACTTTGTATAATATTTGCAGGATCTGATAATCCAACATCTTCTTCAAATTTAAAAAATTTAAGTGCCTTGACATGGGTTACTTGGTACATATATATTATTTTTTATAGGATAAATTATATGGTAAAAGAGTTAAAGTATTAAAAGTATACATTTTCCCATGTGTACATGAGAATTTATCACTTCTTTTTTTTTTTTTTTTGTTATAGGAGTATGCAAATTTGTCACTTTTTTTTCTAATAAAAAGAGAAATTATTATCAAAATTCTATGCTATCTAATGTGAAAGAAACTTGGCCATTCATAAAAGAGATATATTAATAGTAGTTAGCTTGTGGGTTTGCTTTGCTCTGACTTTATTATACATAACATAACTTATCAATTTTTTTTGTCTTTTTTGACTTAATCAAAGATTGCATTTTTGCATGAAAAACCATAATTGTTTGGGACCCCTTATCCATCATTCACGCATGCCACACATTTCTTTTTACTCCTACTAATCTTATATGTATATCATGGGTAATTAGTAAATATATATATATATATATATATTAAAGAGAAAAATGCTTTCGGTTTCTTAAGAAGCTCACCATCTTTATTGTTTTTTATGCTCATGTTGTTAAACAAGTTGCAGTCTCATGAAACTTCCTAATAATGGATTTCCCTTTTTTTTTTTCAATTTGAAAAATTTAATATTGGAAAAAAATAGAAATCAAGGAATTCATTATTTTCTACTAAGGAAAGGAAATCAAGAGAAACTAATGCTGCGAAAAAAAGTCCTTAGCGAAGCGATGGCATAAACCTAATATATAATATAATCTTCTAATTTTAATATATTAGTTTTATTTTTAATTCAAATATTTTTTATATAATTTATCTATAAAAATTAATTTATTTATCAATAAATATATTTTAATTTAAAATTTAAATTATATTTTATTATAAAATAAATAAAATATTGTTAATATTTTATAAATTTTTATCTTTAGACAACATTAAAATCATCCATTTATGTAACTATTATAATATACATAATTATTTGATACTTTCAAACAAATAATATCTGATATTAGGATCCTTTATTTATATCTCGAAAATTACTCTATAAACTTATTTTCTAAATACACTCTAAATTTAAAAAATAAATCTAAGTTTTTATTCATTACGTCCAAAAAAATTATTCCTATTTGCGGTAAAAACCCTTCACACTCATTTCTCCCATTTTCGTTTTGGTAGATTTAAAAAAAAAATTAGTTTTTAATATTTTAATAATATTTTAAATAATAATATATTAAAATAAAAGGATCAAGTCAAGCCCTTGAAAATTTAAGAAATGTCAACCTGATAGGACCCAATTTATGAACACGTTTAACCTGAAATAATATTTTAAAAGCTCACCCATTAACACTCATTCCCATTTTATTTCATTTTTTATGATTTTTTTTTTCAATTTGAGGGATGGTCTAATATAGGGATGTAAATGATACATTTGTACTTATAAGTTACTCAAGTTCGATTCAAAAAAATTCGAATTCGGTTCGATTATTATCAAGTCAAGTTCGAACTCGAGTAGCTCGACTTATCGATCAAGCCGAATTCGAGTATTCTTATATCCGATTCGAGTAACTCGTGAGCCTAATCGAACTTTTATATTTAAATATATTTTTATTATTTTAATTAATAAAATATTTCGAGTCCGAACTCGAGTTCGAGACATGAATAATCGAACTCTTGTCGAGTATACGAATCGAGCTTATTTTTACATATTAATCAAGCTTAATCGAGCGAGCTCAAATAGCTCGAATTCGATCACGAATCGAGTTTGAAATTGAAAAATAAATCCCCATCGAGCTCGAGTCGAATATCAAGCCCCGAGTTGTGAGTCGAGCTCAAACTCAAACTTCTCATTATTCAACTCAACTCGACTCGATTACACTCCTAGTCTAACCAACCCTATAAGACGGTGATTTTATTTTTAAATGTACCGAAAGTATGTTTATCTTTTCTACAATTTTTTTTTTGCTTTTAACATTAAAAATAAGAAAATATCAATGTAAGGAAAAAATTTTTAAATTTAATGTCAAATACACTAAAATTAAAGATTTTTAATCTTTGTGAAAGTCAACTAGAGAAAAAAATTGAAATACAAAATTGACAAAAGATCCATAAATGTAACTATTTAATAAAATTGATCATTAAATTAAAATAATAAGTCTCGTTAAAGATTATTTAATTACTATAATTTAAAAAATTACATTTTCTACATTTCTTTTACCAAATTAAAAAAAAAAAGGAGCATTGCATTATTACAATTTTTTTAATATCTTAGCCAGTGCCATTGAATCTTTAGTATTGATTAACATTTCTTTTAATAATTTAGGGTTTGGGAACAAAAACGAAATCAATTTAAAAGGCAAACCTGCCTAGATTTAGACATACATATTAATTATTGATTTTAAGTAATATTTAATATACAATAATCACTCAAAAAATAATGATGATTGATGCATAAGTATTAGATTATTGTATTTGATAATTATTTAATGATTTTATGTGACGTTGATTTTAAATTATCGATAATGATCGAATTATTATCGTAAAAAATGATTTAATTCTCATTTAAAGAGATAAAAATTTTATTATTGAAATAAGATTACATGTAAAATTAATAATTATGGATATTACTTATTTAATAAGTAAACTTAAAATTTATTTCTTCTTAAAATTAATTATAATTATTTTATATTATAAATTTTTGTATTTTCAAACTAATATTCAAGTTCAAAAATAAATTATGTGCTTTCTTTCAACTTGTTTTAATTTTATATATAATATAATCTTCCGATTTAAATAGATTAGATTTATTTTTAATTTAAATATTTTTACATAATTTGTACTATAAAAATTAATTTACCTATCAATAAATATATTTTAAAATTTAATAATTTAATAGTATTTTATTATAAATTAAAATAATATTATTAATATTTTATAAATTATTATCTTTAAACAACATTAAAATCATTAATTTATATAATTGTTACAATATACATAATTATTTTGATATTTCCAAACAAATAATATTTGATTTTAGGAGCTTCTATTTATATCCCAAAAATAACTCTATACACTTATTTTCTAAATACACCCCAAATTTAAAACTTGAATCCAAATTTTTATTCTTTACATCCAAAAAAAATTATTCCTATTTGCAGTAAAAGTACTTCGCACTCATTTCTTTCATTTCCGTTTTTCTCGTGGATTCATTATCTATTTCTTCAAATCTTAAACCAAATCCATCTTAAAAACATCAATCAAACCCCAATATTATAACTTTTAAATTAAATCAAGCTACTTAATATTTTTTTATTGCATCATAAGGATAAAATCTTAATACAAATAAAAAAAAAAATTGATTCGAAATCAGACTCATTATGTTTCTTTAAGCACTTTTAACTATATTAAACTAAAGGTTCGGAGATCACTAAATTTCAATATAAAGATAAATTGCACTTGATTTTTATTAAATATTTATTAAATTAAAATATAATGTATTAAATTTCGTTTTTGCATAAATTCATGAATAACGAAAATACTTTTTCATAAATTTTAAGAGATTTACAGGAATAGAAATTCATATACTTTTAAATATTTATGAAAACGTATTTCCGTATATTTTAAAAATAATCAAATATACACATCCGTGTATCTTTAAAACGTCACTAAAACGCATTTCCATTTTAGAGGTGAACACATATAAAACACACGAAAGCTTTAAGCAATTGAAAAACACAGAGGTAATAGCCCTATGGTAACTGTTTGAAATGGGAAAGGAGTCCAAGAACCCCACATGATTAGACAAATATTCAATATCCATGGTCAACATTTTGCCATTGACCTAATAATCAAGAAATACAGTAATTTTAAAAATTAATAATTATTAATCTAATAAAATAATTTAAAATTATAAGCGATAAAATCATTTTAATAATAATGTCAATTCAGCAATTAAACCATTATAATAATCTTAGAAATAATATCCTTGATGATTATTATGATGATAATCTTAAAAATAATACAAAAGAGTTTTATTATAACTACTAAAAACTTAACAATTGAGCAAAGCCAGGAAGACAATTAAAAAATAAAGGTTTTATCATGTAGAAATGGCAATGTGTACGTTTTCCTTCTCAAAATCTGTCTTTTACTTCAATAGTTAATTCCAATGCTAGTAAAAAAGGCCTTGCTGTGTAGGTCCAACCAACAATGATGTATGGCGTGGAACCGTAGGAGATAGCAAACAAGAAAATATGGTACAAAAGCCAAGACCAGGGCTCCATTCCATCTATAAATAATATAAAAGCCAGGGCAGGGCAGGCTCATCCATTTACTCACAGCATCAGCTGTAAGTAACTTGATGAAAAATCATCTATGCATCAGCTGTCACCTACTTTTGTCACCCACTTTGACTGCAGGAAATGTTCCAAGCACATGGTCCCAAACAGAAGATGTAATCCCAAACCCCTTGCTCTGAACTTTAAAGTGATGATTCAAGTGGTATCTCTGTCAAATAAAAACACCAACACAACTGATGATTTGTCACCTATTCTGTTCAAATAAATCGGCATATAAAAAAAAAGGAAAAGAAAAAAAGTAATCAAAATGAGTTACCTTGAGAGTTTGACCATATCCTTTAGATGGCTTTCCATGGTGCAAGTAATAATGGGTGCAGTCATACATAACATATCCCAGCAACCCACCTCCAAACAAAGCTGGAGCGATTGAAGGAGGTGACAAAAGCTTAATCAGGGTCCACAACTAGCAATCAAGAAACATGCTGAATTAGGATCACGTAAAGGAACCCATAAGCAAATACGTAGGACAACAAACCATTCCCTGCTTTCCATTTTGCGTATATATCTAACAACAATAATTCCGTCACAATGTGCAAAATTAATCCAATATAAATTGGTTTCAATTTGACATTTGGGATTCCAATCCTACGACTGGAAATACATACAAGAGTTCTCTTTGGAGCAATTCACAAAGGAAATTTTGCCCCCACAGTTTCACGTTTGAGACCAATAAATTCATTGCTCACATTCTCTTGTTGAGGCAAATATGGTTTTACTGGATATGAATAGTTATATTCTCATGGCAAACAGAAACATTCCTCCCCTCTACAAATGTGGTATAAAAAACAGATTAAATTGAGTCTATGAACCTATAGCTTTTTTGCTACAGTTCAAAGCGGACATTGGAGATTAGTAGGACTTTAAAATTAAAGGGTTGAATTTTAAACTGTGAGATGGTATGCTTAGCGAACTAGATCATGAGGCCTAAATGGGGAAAAAGGATAAAAGAAAAATATTTCTAACCATAGCACCCTTGATAGGTAACTTAATAGAGGATAAGTATAGAGTTTGTAACAAATTAACATACTGGCACACAGAGAATTGCTGTTGCAGCTGGGGGGAAAACAAGCCGTAGCCCATCCATAGGGTGCTTGTGATGGCAGCCATGAAGGAGATAGTGCAAGGTGTTTCCCCTGAAGAAAATTTCTCAAACTTGCTTCAGCATGCCAAGTTGGTCATGTAGACAGCATACAGTGAGAAATTGAGAGAGACATAGACAGAAAGAGAACTTACCAATAACTTTTTGTTTCCATATGGAAAAGAAAACGGTGCAAAGAATACTCAAGAAATGTCCAGATGAAGATGCCACCAACCACTGTTGAGGCTACCTCAGTACTAGTAAGACCTCTTTGGGTAGAGACAGAAACAAGCCAACATATAACTGGTAACCAAACAAGTGGGATCACCCACCATTTTGTGCGTGTCAAGAGCTGTTCAAGTAAAAAAAGTTCAAGTTGTGATGAGAGATGTGGTAGAACTAAAAACATTGTTACTAGCATCTAATGATGCTATATGCTACAAAGACAACTGTATTGAATGGAGGTACGTAATTGAAAACCTATTAATGCAGGAATAGCAAAGAAGCAGGGATCCTTACGAGATTTTTCCATCATTCAAAAATCAAGGACAATGCAAAACAATAAAGGAACTAATAGTAGTGAGAAAAATAAACTACTTTGGCACTTATAACAAATGATACGACAAGAAAGAACAAGAGAACAAAAACTACATTTGTTGTAAAACATTAAGGTGGAACGACATAAAAGAAAAAGAAAAATCTTATGATGCAAGCATAGCATTATTTTGTTTTTTATTTTCTACATTTAGTTTAAGGTTTTTTTTTAAAAAAAAAAACAACAGCAAAAAACATGTTTGACAATGTTTTTTTGTTTTCAAAAAGTTTTTAAAAAAAGTAAAATTTTCCAAAATTGTTGGAAGCAAGAATTTCTTGCTTCCATTATTTTCAGAAACATGTTATCATTTCTGACACTGTAACCTAATAGTACCTATAATGAAAATTAGTTGTTGCTCTGAAACACTGCAAAGTTGTAACACTGTAAAACAGAGTAAAAGTTTAATGATATGAGTAATCTAAAGCCTAGCTCAGAATGTACACTTCAAAGTTATTTATTTCTAGACACTTTCTGCAAAAGCTAGAAGCTAATTACTAAAGTTTCAAATTCAAACAGGTGCTGCTTAAGGGCATGCCTGAAAATTTCATTGGCCTATTGACTGCACAGGGTGAAATCAATAGGAACTACAAAATTCTTGTCAGCACTTAAAAAGGTTGGTGCATATGCATGTGCATCTTCATATACATGTATCTGGCAAAATCTCCATATGCTGTTCTGTAATTCTAGAACTGCCTGATTGGAAAGACAAGGATCAGTACCTCACAAAAGTCATTGGAAAAAAACCGGGGAACATCCTTGCTAACAATAGGTTGGTGAACCCATCTGTCATAAGCTTCCCCAAGATGGCCAACCTGCAAAATTCTCATTTGTATACGAGTCAAAGAAGTTAATAAAACATCGCATAAAAACAGAATCAAAATGATTTAGAAAATTATATGAATAATCCTTAATCTAGTTGACACCGCACAGTATAGATGACACATGGAAAAAATATGGAGAGAAGACTTTCAATAGGGCAGCAAAGATGCCTTTAAGGGAGAAAATTTTGGGGTAAAATTAGAATCATCTGAGTATTGATTAGAAATAAGTTTATACAGAATTTCTGGTCATATAAGAGATCAATGCTGATCAGAAAATACATAAATACATAGACCAGAGGTAAAGTAACATTTTTCAGAAGTCTTCTAGAACCAAGAACTAAGTCCAGTACACCAAGTACTGCTGAAGTGAAAGAGTTTATATTTTGTCTTTGTATTTGTTTTTTTGGAGTTGGTCCCTTTTCCTGATGCTCAATACATGTCTTTTGAGTGATGCTAGACTTACTAACAAATATGTGTAGAATAACCAATGAAAATGCACGCTGGACTATACTAATTAATGCACTAAACAGTATATATATATATATATATATATCTCAAAAGAAAAATAATAATAGGGAAAAGCAAAGAAAAATATGACAGGGTGCGGTTCAGACCTGGAATACCATAGGCTTATCCAAATCAACCATAAAAGGCTTACTGACCATCCTGGTAGCTTCTGACTTGAATGAATTATTAACCAAACAAAAGAGAATCAGCAGCAAAATTAAAAATATTTTCATACCACCCAGCAAACAATAAAAGGGCAACAAAAAAATCAAAAGATAATTGCAGAAGAATGACAAAATAATCAGTTAATAACATTTTTATGGTTGAAAAGGAGTTACAGCTTGCATTTTTGGGCCATGTATAAGCAATTGTGTTCTTGAAACAATATATATTTGTCTCGAAAGCAACAATTGTTTCTATTCCCAAAATCTTCTATCATATCTGGCATTATTTTAAGCAACATCTTATATCCCTAGATTTAAACTAATAGAAGATTTGATAAATTTTAACATTACTGAAAAGAAAATATATTCAAGCAGTCTGGTGCTAATTTCAACCACCACTCCTCATCAAAAATATATATACATATAGATACCAAGAATTAAGGCATCTATTACATAACCTGAATTTTGTCCTATTATCACAACCCTCATATTTAGAATGATAACCTTTAGAAAAATCCAGTCCCCAGAAAGAATTTCTAAGTCTCAAAATTTTCTAGTACTGGATTTTACCTAAATTACTAAGACTTATTCAACATCTTTCCGAACTGGAGTTTTCCTAAATTACTGAGACTTATTCAACTTCTTTCCAAAGAATATGGTGCTCTCCTCTCTCTATTGATTATATCCATGTTAGCAAACCATACCATACCAGTAATGAAGATAGCATTCTGCCACATTTTTATTTTCCTATCTCTTTCTTTCAATTCTATCCACGTCGAAAACCATAACATTAATGAATACTGTTACCTCCTAAATACTGTTACCTCCTGTGAATAACGAGTAAAGCAAATGTATTTCCTAGAGGATTTTTAGACACCAATAATACTTTGCCCCGGGAAAGGAGCAATAAGGAAACTAACAAAAAAGTATTTAGTAAAGGAGAGTTTTGGCTTAAGATGATATGAAAGACACTAAGGGAAAAAAAGCTATCCTATTGTGAACTAGAGATTTTAAGTACTATTTATAAATCTTCCGTTCAATTTCGCACCCTGTAACCAAAGGAATTAGAATGCTGAGAAATGCTTTCGTTTATCCAAATCATGATCTTACAGAGAAGGAACTTGTCAGAACTATGCCTCCATATATTGGCAATCACTGCAACAGAGTCTACAAAGCCATATATTTGGTCCACTAGTGCTTTTGCACTTGACCACCCAAGACCAATTGCACCACAAAATTCCCCTTCTTTCCTGATCATCCCTAAAACCACAAAATAAATTTTCTACAACTTTCTGGGCATGACCATTTGGATAAGAGATAACAGAATATGTGGCATGGCAATGTGAAAGAGAATGCATCCTTGAATATAAAACAACAAACTAAGCCTTATATACCGTATCTCTGGGGTCGGCATCCTTGAATATCATTCCTATAAATAAACTTCCACCAACAATCACATGATCTGTTGGTAAAGACTTTTAGTTCTAATGATCAGATCAAAATCGTGACAACTTTAAGTATAAAAAAAACGTGACTACATCCAACCATCCTAATTGATTCCATGGAATCTAATGAAGTTTTCAAGTGATATCCAACACAATTTCGTTTTTGGTTTCCATTGATTAGCAAATTTGTCAAGCAATCAATTACAACAAAAAGAAGAAAAAGGGGGAAAAAAAAAAAAAGAAACCTTGGTAAGGACCCTCCGGGGAGCTCTTGAGTTCGTGAAGACCGAAAAAAGAAACAAGTTTTGTTTCAATGGACGAATGCTTAATTCTACTTCTCCTTCTTCTGCTCCTCATTGAATTGTGAGGAACGCTCAGGCCGAAATTCAAGCCAGCTAAAGGCGGGTTTCAGCCTTCCAAAATCGAAATCATAGCTACACCTCATGTTTGCACAACGGTTTCAATTTTGCATCTTATTAGGCTAAATTAAAAAAAATAAAAAAACCTTGAAGAATTTTTTTTTTATATATATTTTAGCTATTTTATTAACAGCCGCAAAATGGCCGATCCGCACTGAACTCATCATAAGCTCAGCTGAGCAATTAATTGAAGTTTTTATTTCCTAACGTTTCGAGTGGCAAGAAGATCGATTCTTCTTAAATGAAGTTTCGATTTTAAATTTTGTGAATTTTTTACGAGATTTAATCTAATTTAATGTCAGATTAATTTAAATTTAAAGTAATTATCACTGAAAATCTTTAAAAAAAAATTATTTCAAAAAATAAATTCATTTAATGAAAATTTTTAAATAAAATTAAATTTTTTATTACAATTTATAATTAATAATTTTAAAATATGAATAATGTAAATTTAAGACTCTAAAAATCAAGCAATTCGTTAGTAAAATTTAATTTTTTTATTATGAAACAAATCCATTTAATAAAAACCTTCCAATGAAATTAAAATTCTTATTTACAAATTAAATAAATTTAATTAACATTTATAATTAAAATTTTCAAAATACCGATTTAAAAATATAATAAACATATAGATGTTTATTTTCATCAATGCCAGTGCTCATATTTTCATATATATTGTAGTATTTGTTATAATGTACATCGCAATGTGAATCTTTATTTTTTATTTTAAAATAACAATTATTTATTAAATAAATGATTATTTATTATAAAATAATTGAAATTAATAAAATATATATTAACCAGAATTTGCATGGATATAGAAAGTTTATCTCATATCAAAATAATTATTTGATTAACATATAGATAATATACATCGCAATTTGAATATTTATTTTTTATTTATTTTAAAATAATAATTGTATATTAAATATATGATATATATTATAAAATAATTAAAATTAATACATATTAATCGGAATTTGCATGAAAGTATAAAGTTTATCTTATGTCAAAATATATTATTTGATTAACATAAATTTAAATTTTTATTACTTTTATTGTTGAAAAATTAAAATTTTGAAGATAAAACAAATTCAATTGTAAACATTTATTTAGCTTTTTTTTTATCAAATGAATTTATTTAAACGAAAGTTTTTGGAGGAAAATAAAATTAGTATATATAAATTGAATAAAATTTGTCAGTTTATCATAAGAGATATTTAAAATGATAATTTAAAAATATAATAAATATAAATATATGTTCTTATCAATTAAAATTTGACCAACATTTGTAATTTTTATTCAACATTTGCATCTTAAATATATAGAATGAAATATAGATTAAATACCACGTCCAAAATAAAAAAAATAAAAGTTAAATATAAAAATAATCTCTGTGCAATATATTTTGATACATAAAAAAATAAAATTATCAATTTAATACTTTAATTTTTATTCAATCATTCATTTTAATACTTAAAACTAATATCGTCGATCAAGTTATTAATATAATATAAACATTCAATAATATATTAACATATGTAAAAAAAAAATACAATCGATTTTATATCATCAATTGTCACTTCAATGTTAAAAATAATAAAAAATTCAAACAAAATTAATAAAAATGTAAAATGTATATTTATAATATTTTAAAATTGTTTATAATTTTTAAAATTTTTTAAAAATTTTGTTTTAATACTGATATGAAAATTAATAATATAGTATTAATTTGATTTTTTTATACATATAATTATTTTATTAGATATTCATGCAATATTAATAAATTAATTAATGACATTAATCCAAAATATTAAAATAGATGTTAAATGCATGTTAAAAATTAAATTAATAATTTTATGTTTTAAATATTAAATTAATAAAAATATATAATATAAAAACTATTTTTATATTTAACCCAAAATATATATATAAAAATATATTTATAAAGTGGCGTGAAAAGCGTCGTAAAAGGATAAAAAAGAGCGTAAATTTAGTGTAAGAATCATTAAGATCACGTGCTTCTCATTTTATTGTCCCTGCTACTATACTAATACAAAATGATTGTGTCCCACTTCCCATGACTTTCCTTTTCTTTGGTCTTCGCTTATTCTTTTACCGCAAAAAGTCATCATTTTTTTTTTAAATTATTTCTCATTCAAGATTGTAGATGGCAAATTAGTAATGTAATTTTTTTAATTATTAATCACGATCACTAATAGTAAATTGAGTCACCATTGGATAGTTGGTTCAAGTATGTTTGGATTCGAATCTATTAAATGATTATAAAATTTTTTTATAAATTTATTACATTTAATGTAAATAAATTTATTTAAACAAATTCAAAAAAATGTACTAAATAAAACTTAAAATCCTTTGTGGCTAAATAAAAAAAAATTATAAGTTAGAGTGGGGTCTTCTCACTTTGTCATTTGCCAAAACTTTCAAATCCATTGCACAATATTTTATTTTTCAATTGGATTATGGAAAATGAAAATCCAATGTCTGATCATATTTTATCTTACTAGTGAAGTAATCCAGCCCTTTTTCTCTTTGTTTCTTGTTAGTGGCCGCCTGCCAATCAAACTCGTTTTCAAATAAACATGACATAACATAAATGTGATTTTATTTCAATCTTGTTTTTGTACTTTGACTTATTGCAATTTAATTATTATATTATTAAAAATCTCTCAAAATTTATCATTTTATTAATAGAATTTTGTTATTAAATTTAAATTTAAATTTATTATTATATTATTATATTATTAACATTTAAATTTTGTTAAATGTGAATAAACACATCTCATTTGGAAATTGATGCGGCAAAGTAAGAACCAAATATAATATAAATTTAAAAATATATTTTTTGAATATCTAAACTTGTGAAATTTTAAAATTTAATTTCATGTGTTTTTATTAATAAATAAAAAAATTACATTAAATTTAATAAGTGAAGTTCGTAAAAATTTTTATTAAAACTTAATAAATAAAAATTTAATAAAAAATTTAAATCAATAGATTAATAAGATTTAATAAAAAAATCAATAATATATAAAAAATTTATTAAAAATATTATTTATAATTTAAATTTGATCATTACTTATATAATGGTAAAAATTTTACTAACATTTTTATTAAAAACATTTATTCAATAAATTTATTAAAATTTTATATGCTTAATTTATGTGATGAAATTTTTAATTTTTAATTTTTAATTTTAATTTATTTATTTCTAATAAAAATTTCACAAATTTTACCTATATAACTTTATGTAAGTTTTTTTTAACAAAATATCTTGTGAAATTCAAAATGTTTGAATGATATAATTAATTTTTTTTTCAAAATTTACTTCTTATTTTTAAATGATGACTAGATTTATTGAAATAATTATCATCAAATTTCTATTTGTGATGATAACAGTATTAATTTTTTTTTTGTATCTTTGTGTTTAATAAATAATTTCCTGTTACTTGACTTCTTCATAAGATCTGTTCAAAAGATAGAAGATAAATCCAAAAGAAAAATAAAAGAGAAAAAATAAAAATCGAGCGACAAAAGAAACCCAAACCTCCACTCTCCTCTGAAACCAAACCATTTCCCCCACGCGTCTTCCACTTTCTTGTCTCCTGCTCCTGGGCTTTAAAACAGCGATCATCATGTAGACGCTTGTTCCATTTTCTCCCCTTTCCCAATCATCTTTTTTAGTTTCATCCGCTTTCCCTTTAGCCAAGCAAACAACTCAAGAATCACAAGAAGAAAAAGAAAACCCAGTGTTTTTTTTTTTTTTGGATTTTTTTTTGCCATGCCTTTTCCATGGAAGAAAGCCAAAGTAACTCGTATCTCCCGGCTGGTTGCCGACCTCCACCAATCCCCCAAGCGCGGCGGATCCCTAGTGGTGGAGACTGGCTTCCCGACGTCCCTCATCGATCTCTTCGTCAAGAACCGTGATCGCTTGAGAAAATCTCCTAAAAGGAAATCAAGCCCTCAGATCCAAACCCCTCCCTCCCATGTACCCTCCACATCTCTCCAATCATCCCCTTCCCCTCCCTGCAATGAAGACATACAATCTCCTGAGCTAGATGTTGGGAAATTAGTGTTGATCAAGAGAGCATGCAAGGAGAGGATTGCGTTTAAAGTGTTTTTAGTGGTGGCTCTGGCTGTTAGTACCAGAAACCTTGCGGTTTGGATCATGATGGCTGCTTTCTTGCTTGTGCTAATGGAGTTCTTTGGGACACGTTTCTTGGGTTTCTTGAGACCAGATTCTAAGGATGTTTTCTTGGGTTCCTGGATTCGAAAGGGTTTATCGGTTTTGAAGAGATGGGATTGGGAGCAAGGATCAGCAGCCGAGGAATTGGCTGTGAAACAACAGGGAACTGTTTTCCCTGATTCTTGTGGGCTGATTGAAGTCGAGGAAAGTCAGATTGCGGAAATGAAATTCGATTGCGTTGGTATTGGTAAGGGTGGTCAAAGCTTGGAGACACAGACAAAAGTGGATAGAACAAGGGAAATCTTAACATGTAACAGTGAGCGTAGTTGGAGTGCAAGATTTAAAAGAAGTTTTATCAAGAAATTTGTTCCAAAGAAGTTGCGCCATGGAAAGAGTAATAATAACAAGGATCAATTGGGAGTAGATATACAAAAATTGGACGAGATTGAAGAGGAAAAGCAAGTGTTGAATGAAGTTGAATCACAAACAGAAGAAGCTAGGATTTCAACTTCTGTTCAAGTTTTGTGGGTCGAATCAGAAATTCGAGTCGTTAAAAACAAGGTGGTGAATGTTAGAAAAGGGGAAAAATCAGGCTATCTGATTCTGTTTGTGATTGTTCTTGCTGGACTTTTAGGAGGCCGGAGTGTTGCACTTTTGCTTACGCTTGTATGGTGCTTGATACTGAGATTTATTGGGAGACCAAGAAGATGTTGAACTTGGAACACTATCTTTGTCTGGTTTCTTGTCTCAATCTCAAGCTAGAGTTCTGGTTGGGTGGCCTGTCTGAGAAGAACAAAACCATCTTTTTTGTAGCTTTCTTCTGGTTGAATCTGCTGATGGAAGCCTGGTTATGATGGATGTGGAGTCCAACGGTTTTGTTGCCAAGGGAAGGGAAGTTGAGTTTGCTGTAATTTCAAATGTAAATTGACATTATGTATACAATTCAAAATCCACAATATTCGTTGATTTAATTAACTCTGAAATTCAGGTGGTTTGCCTTATACTTATTTGATTTGTTGCCTCAAAAATCAATTTGTCCTATCTTTAAAAATATTCGTTAAAATTGTGAAATTTCTTAAAGAAGTGTTAATGCCAACCTTTTTATCCTCAGTGGAGGAGAAGATTTACGTAAAATTTTATAGGTGAAGTTGGTAAAACTTTTTATTAAAAAATAATAAATTAAAAGTTACAATCGTAAAATTAAAAATAAAAATTTTTTTTACATAAATTATATGTATAAAATTTAAAAGTTTTTTTATATATTTATTAAATAAATATTTTTAATAAAAATATTAATAAAATTTTTATCGTTAAATAAATATTGATTAAATTTAAATTTTAAATAATTATTTTATATATTATTAATTTTTATCAATTTATTGATTTAATTTTTTATTAAATTATTTATTTATTTATTTTTAATAAATAAAATTCATAAATTTTATTTATAAAATTTTATATAAAATTTGAAAGGACACAACATTTAGCAGTTAGGATTCGCCATCAAGTAATAATATGAGTTCTATTATGAATTGAAAGATGTATTAACATACCGTTTTCATGTTATCTTTATCAAATTGCTAAATAAAATATGAAAATAATTACAAGATGTGTGTGGAAAGAAAAAAATAATTGAAAAAATAAATTTTTTTTATAAAAATAAAACGCAAAAGCAATAAAGCTTTGAAGAATTTGTTTTTATAATGAAAATTTTTAACTACGTAAAGCAATTAAAAATTATCATATATCTAAAATTTTTAATATAATATATATTATTTTACCAACTTTATTTATAGTCTAAAAATCGGATATAATGGGATTAAACAAAGAATTAGTATTTAATATATTATTAGTTTAAAATTTTAATTATATAAATAATATAAAGAGATTGACACATATTTTATTTTTATTTTTAATTATCTTTTTATTTTTTAAATATATTTTAAAAAATATGCATCACTCTCTCAATTCTATTTACGAAATCTAAAAATTCTATTGTATCTCTATTTTACTTAATAATTACTCAAATAAATATAATTGATCTATTGATATTTGTGTTTTTGATATATGAAATTCCCGAAATACTCTCTAACTCCGGTATAAAGGTTCCTCGTCTCGTCTAGCTATTACAAATTCGAAAGTATTTTATCTATAATTCTTTCTATTATAATATTATAATTAATCAATTATCAATAAAGGATTATGTAAACATTTACCATTTAAAAATATAAGTTTTACGTAATTTTTTGAATCAAAATGTAAACAAATAAAACTTTAAGTGAACTATTCAAAAATAAATTTAGTTTTTATTCATCTATAATCATTTATTAAAGTTAATAAATGATTTTAAATAATATTTTTACATTCATTTATTAAATAAATTAAATACGAACATAAGTCTATTTTGTTTGTTTATATTCATAAATAAGAATATAAATTATATATTAATACTCATAAGTTATTCGAATTCGACTCAAATAAAATTTGAATTCAATTCAATTATTATCGAGTTGAATTAGAGTCAAGTAACTTAATTTATCGATTGAGTTGAATTTGAATTTTTTTTTATTCGAGTTTGAGTAAAATAATTATTATCGAGTTAAATTAGAGTAAAAAAATGCTCGAATTTGAGTTTAATTGATAAAATATTTTGAATTCGAGTTTGAATTCAAATACAAATAATTAAAATTTTATCAAATATAATAATTGAGTTTATTTTTATATGTTAATCAAGTTTAATCAAGCGAGATCGAATAATTCAATTTTTATCTCGAGTCAAGTTAAAATTAAAAAAATAAAACTTGATCGAGTTTAAATCGAATTTCGAGTATCGAATTTAGAGTAAAGCTTGAGTTTAAATTTAATATTGTATCGACTCAAACTCGATTGATTATACCTTTATTCACAAATAAACTCATTTAAAATTTATTTAAAATTTGTTCATTTATTATTTTTTCTGTTCATTTATAATAATAATAATAATAATAAATTATATTTTTATTTTTTATCTTAATTTTATTTTAAAATTTTTTATTCATTTTGATTCGTTTATATTTTTTTAAAATTTATTTGTTTAATTTTATTTATTATTTATAAATATATATTTTATATATGTTTATAAATATATTTATTTAATATTTATAAATAAATTTATTTAATTTAATCGAATCGAATATAAATTAAATGTGAATATTATACTGTTTAAATGAACCAAATAAAAACAAATAAATTGATTTTGTTACCGAACACTAACCTAATCTAAACACACCTTTAAAAAAATATAAATTATGTATTTACATTTGTTCGTATATATTCGATTCGTTTACAAATTTATTTTTTATGAGTTCTACATGCATTAAATTATAATTAATTAATTGTATTCCAATAATTATAGTTATATGTTACAATATATCCCATGCCAACTTAAAAACCCTAACTCCAAAAATACCCTCCTAAAAGCTAATTCTGGTTTCACCCGATTCCATTTTTCCCAAATTCAAAACAAGACTATAAACAATCATGTCTTTAAGTGTAGGTAGAAAAGAAACCCATCAGCCAACGCCACCGACCGCTAGTCATAACGGAAATGGCGTGGCGGTTTTGCCGATGACGCACCGGTTACGTCTGAACCCTAATACCGAGCACAAGCCGGAGAGCTACGAGGGTTTGCAGTTGGAGTTCAGTCCGCTTCTGTTCAGCTCCCTGGAACGTTACTTGCCTCCTCCTATGCTCTCACTCCCTCGCGACTCCAAGCTCCGTTACATGCGCGACATTATCCTTCGTTACTCTCCTGAAGGCGAACGTACTCGCGTAAGCCTCTTGCTTTTTCCTTTATTTTTGCTTTTTATTTTATGTTTGAATTTCAGGTTCGAACATTTCCTTCCTTTAGAATGTAACACTGTCTTATGAAATAATTATGTAATTTCTTAGTATTATTATGTTAACATTTGAGTTAAATCAGGTGAATTTTTATAATGCAATATAAGTAATATATTTATTCTTTTAAAGCTTTTATCTCTGGAAACTGAAAAGGAATGGTGCGTGACAGATTTTAAATTAAAGGAATGCTAAGATGAATTAATTGTTTTTAACTCCATTTTTGGATTGATTGAGAAAAAATGGAGCTCATATACTGTGTAAATGGGGTAAAAGAAGGCATTTTTTTGTAATTTCTTATTGTGAATTTATGAGCTGCTGAGTGTTGTTTAGATTGGGATGAATTGATATATTAATTGATCTGTATATGGGTTTTGTGTATCCTATTGCCATTGGACAAATTTAAGTTTCAATCTATAACTCTATGCTTGTATCTTTTTTTCAGTATTTTTATGCAATGCTATGCATTTTATGTTGGTCAATTTTGTCATTACTCACTTTTTGTTCAGCCTCTAATTTACGCTAGCTATCTGGTCTGTGGATATCTTGTATCTCTCTTGATTTTCCTTTTCCATTTAGCTGTACCTTTTTTTCACTGTTTAAAAATTTTTTGAGCAGGTTCAAAGGCATCGAGAATACAGGCAGAAGATTATATCGCACTATCAGGTGCATAGTGTAATTATTGTTTGACTAGGATTGTGTACTCAAGGTCGTTTAGGATACTTTTTTTTGCCTGCAAAATCTCCAAATTATGCTAATTTGTGAGATAAGAAGTGCCTTGTAGTGGAACTTTTTTTTTTTTTTTCACTTTTGCAGATTTTATATTGGTGTGTTATCTTTGTAAGGTTTATATTTTTCTCTGCTCAAGTGATCTCCTTTTTTGCAGCCTCTGCATAGGGAGTTGTATGCCATGCATGCCTCAAACTTCTTTGTCCCCTCATTTCTGAAAGCAATTAATGAGAATAAAGTGGAAAGCTTTAGAAGTATAATGGCTGAACCTACACTAGGGGTTTTTACATTTGAAATGCTTCAGCCCCGTTTCTGTGAAATGTGGTTATCTGAGGTACTGCCAATACCTTCTTTTCTTTTGTTCTTTTTTTTTACTTTTAACTTTCTTGTTTTTTAGGTTTTATATTTTTCTTATCAGGTTCTGATTGCTTAGGTAGAAAACTTCGAAAAGTGGGTCCAAGAGACAAAATTTAGAATCATGCGACCAAACACAATGAACAAATTTGGTGCTGTTTTAGATGACTTTGGTCTGGAGACCATGCTTGACAAGTTGATGGAGGACTTTATCCGACCTATATCCAAAGGTATTTAGTTTTTCTTCCATCATGAGATAGATAGATAAATAGATATTTTTTAATATCTTGGGAAATGGTTTGCAGTTTTCTTTTCTGATGTGGGTGGATCTACGCTGGATTCGCATCATGGTTTTGTTGTTGAATATGGAATTGACAGGGATGTTGAGCTTGGTAGGTTCTGACTTCTTTCTGTTTTCTCTTTAAATAACCCATTTCCATTAGTTCTGTGAATGATGAAAGTTCACTGTGCTATTTATCATCCACTACCCTTAGGAGATTAAAGAATTAGGTATTGGTAGATGGAAACTGATGATTCTTTGGATTCTACTGTTAAAGTGTTTAGAAGGTATTGCACAAAATAATTCTTTCATTCCTCTGACTTTGCTTTGTGCATTGCTTATCACTTCTTTCCTTATTAAATGATGGCATCTTCCATTTTCTTACATTTCATGCTCATATTTTTTCTCATGACTGCCTATAATCTCACCATGGTTGGCTATGGTTTTTTCCTAACATTATAATTTTTGTGCACATTAAATTTTTATTTATTGATGCTTGTTCTGTTAATCTGCCTGTTTATAATACCTTTTATTATCTTTTCCTTTATTGGTACTACTGTTAGAGTCTTTTAGTTAAAAATCTTGCTGTTAAAGTTGGATCTTCGCAAACTTCTGTAGCTTTGTGTTTGTAGGTTTCCATGTGGATGATTCAGAAGTCACCTTAAATGTTTGCTTGGGTAAACAATTTTCTGGTGGAGAATTGTTCTTTCGGGGCGTTCGGTGTGATAAACATGTCAATACGGAAACCCAGTCAGATGTAAGCTAATCCTTCTTTACACTGTTCATTTTGAGGAACAGGAACTGAAGCTTTAACCATCTGCATATGTTTAATAAAGTATCAGCATGAAGTTTAGTGTCAATTTGGTAAAATGATCCCTATTATTAGAAAGTCAACAAGGAGAATGAACCCTATGTCTGACACAGCCTCCTCTCCCCTCTCCCTCCCCTTTTCTTATAAAGTGAAATATCATAAAAATATCAAAACAGCCTATTATGCTTATTTTAATCTGGTCTCTATCTAGAGGCTACGTTCTTTGTAAATGAGAACATGAAATAACAGATCAGTTAAACAAAATGGATCCTTAGACAACAGGTAGTAATCATAGTATTTAAATTGGTTGTCAGATATTGGTTCATTGAAGAAAAGATATAGACTAGTCCTTTTTCTATTTTAATTTGTTAGTATTGTAACAAAATGCTTATTTAATGTGTTATCTTTGTTGTGCATTATAGGAAATTTTGGATTATTCACATGTTCCAGGACGTGCAGTTCTTCACCGAGGGCGCCATAGGCATGGTGCAAGAGCCACAACATCTGGTCATCGGGTCAACTTACTTTTGTGGTGCAGAAGGTATTTTTCTCTTGCACTTCTTAGTATAAATGTACCAAACATGTAATAAAGTTCTGGAGGGATCACTAGTGAGGTCTCTCTTAAAGTTGTAATGGCGACCTTGATTTACTGCTCTAAGTTGGAAAGAGATTACCACTTGAATAAAACTTACTCATTGCATTTGAATATCTTTATGTAATATTTAATATTGAAATGTAAAGAACAGCATTGAAGAAATCTTAGAGGAAACCAAAGAATTCAGATGTGTTTGGCCAAATTATTTAAACTGCATGCAAAATTTTCTTCTAGTTCGGTCTTCCGTGAGCTGAGGAAATATCAGAAAGATTTCTCAAGCTGGTGTGGAGAGTGCCAACGTGAGAAAAAAGAAAGGCAGTGTGTCTCAATTGCAGCTACCAAACAGGTATAGCAAAGTCCATATCAATTGCTTTTGTACAAAATAAAAACACTAATTATGACATCTACTTTCATCAGGAACTACTGAAGAGGGAAGCGACGTGAACTCGAGCTTCTTACAAGTTTCGGCTTGTGAAATTGTAAAATAGCTGGATCCTTGCCATTATCACAAGCACTTTTGCCAAATCGGGTTGGAGTGTTGTGTCTTCGTTGACTCCAATGCTGTACATACGCATCTTGTCTGAGCGTCCTGGCCGATTATCAGCCACCTACAGCCATAACTAAACTGTTTCTGTAGTTACAGTTCAATGTGTTTTTGCACTTTAGAATGGCAGTAGTTTCTTCAAATAGAGTCCATCGTTTGTTGTTGGATACAATGTTGTTTTCGGGGCTGTTTTGAGCATCTGGATATTTGTTGACAAGGTTTCTTGTAAGTAATCATCATAAGCTAAGTGATGGGGCCTGCGGGAACAATATTTATTTGATACTCTCTTTCATCTTTTTTCCTTTGTTCTTTTTGTTTTTTTTAATGTTCCATAATGTGTTTTTTTTTTCTTCTTCTAACACTTAAAATATTTTTTTTTCTTTCAAATTTATTTATGATGATTTTTTTTTTTTTTTTACTTTTTAGAATAACAAGCTAGGGGTATCAATTTTGTAAGTATCTTAAACTCTTAATATAAAATAAATTAAAATCAATGTTTATTTTTTCTCAATTTTGTGAAAAGTTATGTAAAGCCAAACAGAGTGGAAAGGAGATTTAAGGTTTTTTGAACTTATAATCTCAAAAGAATTTGCTTAAATGTTCATTTTAGATTCAAACGTTTTCGTGATTTTTCAATTTGAGATTAAATATTTTAATTTGTATAAATAAAAATTAAATATTATCAAATACTTACAATTAAAGATAAAGATGAAGGAAAATATGCCCGAATGAAACACGTACCGTTAATTTGAATAAAAATAATAATTAAATGAAAAAAAGTTGTGTTTCACTTTTTTAGTGGTTAAGTATTATTTTAAATAAAAAATTAAAACTAATCCTAAATTTGAGATTTAGTTTTTAGAAAAAAAATCATTTGATTCTTTTTTATTATTTTAAATATAGTTTAAAAATAAAAATTAAAAAAATTCAAAGTTCTCGTCCTTTTACATAATAATTAAATTTTCAATTATTCAATATTAATTTATAAAAAAAAAAATCATCAATCCATATTATAATACCCATGAAATTCAAAACTCACAACTAAACCAAAAAATTTTTATTTAATTTCAAAAACTCAAATCCTTTCCCTACTGTTGAAAGGAAGAAATTTTTTATTGATTTCAAAAATCCAAATCCTTTCTCTGCTGTTGTGTACTCTGATTTCGAAAACTCACTTCCCCTATTTTCGCTTTCGAATATCTTTGAATTGCAAATCGATTTTCTCAACTATAAGTTTTTCATTTACGTGTTTCACCGTATTCTTTTCCTTTTCAAACAGAGGGCTACACTAGCATCTTTACTGTATTTTCCTTGAGAAGAAGGGCGAAACCAAATTTTGACTTGTTTCTATAATTTATAGACAAGCGCCTCAAAAGAAATGAGCCCAAATCAGAATCAGCTCTACCATCAACAGCATTAAATACCAAAAATCCTTACAAATTAGTGTAGTTGTTAGCCAATTTTTTTAGCCTTTTGTATAACAATCCACTTGGTATATCCCTCTGTAGAAATAGAACAATGAGAGGTTTTATAGAAAAAACAAGAGTTGAAGGGGGATAAATATGAAATTAGGACAAAAAAACATTTGGAAAGAAAGAAGAAAAAATTTTGTTTTGTTCTTATGAAACTAACGTTTTTTTATTTATGATTTTATTATTTTTTGAGTTCTATGTATAATTCAATGTCAATATAAAATTAAATTGCACTACAAAATGCACAAATTTTCATCTACATTTATCATTAATTATAAATATTCGATAACATTTAATTTTTATTTACACAAATTAAAATATTTAATTTTGAATTGAGCAATTAAAAAAATATTTATTCTCACATTAAACATTTAGCCAAATAATTTAATTAACATGTTTGTTATCCAAGCTAATATTAAATTAACTAGAGATTAAAAACTTTATTTTTCATATGTATATATTATAAGAAATTTATCAAATATATTGATAGTAAAATTTTTTAATTTTACAAGTGGTATTAACATGATAATATTTAATTTTTAATATATATTTAAAAAATTATAAAATTAAATAAAAAAATTATAGTCAATACATCAAATAATTTATATATATATATATATATATATATTCAATTGATGAAATCAGTTGTCTGAGTGGATTGTGAAACTACCGGTTACAATTGTTTGGGCCATTTCCAGGTGGTTCAAAATTATGGAACTTAGGAGCAAAGCCTAAATAAGTACACTCCATCGATCCATTGGAGTCATAAAATAAATAAATCTCATTTGAATTTTCCCTTTTGCTTAGAAAGGAAAATATTTGTTCATACTTGATCGACATTGGCTTTTGTGGTGACCGCAGATGTCGATAAAATCAAGTCAGAAAAACCCCAAACCCATAAAGCCAGAAGAACTAAAGAAAGAAATTGAAAGCAAACAGCCCAATCATTCAAATCACACCAAGTGTTTGCTTAATCATCGTCTTATCAATCACTCACACTTGCATTAAGAAAATAATAATAAACTAGTGCAAGCCTTGTATATCAATTTAATTAAAAAAGGGCACGATTAAATGTTCGTTTAGTTTTTTTTCTTTACATATATTTTTTAAATTTTTTATAAATAAAATTATTTAAATATCATTTTCACAAGCGTTTGAATATTTATATTTGATAAATTTTGTAACTTTCAAAAAATAAATTTTCGAAAAATATTGGTTTTTTAAAAATTTAATTTCAAAATATTATAATACTTTTTAAAAATGTATTTTCGAAAATTAATAACACTTATTAAAAATACATTTTTAAAAGGATTAGAAGTGAAAGTTTGTGGAAAATTACCAAAAAAAAAAGTTCAAATTTTTATGAATTAATGTAATAAAAAAGTTATTATTAAAAAATTATAAAATTTAAAATTATTAAAAAATTTTATTTTTGTTATTTTGATCTTAAAAACAATATCTTACAAGCCTTAATTAAATTAAAGATAAAATAATAAATATAAATTTTTTATAAATTTAAAAATTATTATTTTTAATAAAATTTTTCTATTAATTATTAAAATTTTATAATAGATTTAACTAAACTAAACTCTTTAAAAAAATCTTTTCGTCTGCTTATCATGATCGATTTTTTCAATTAACATATTATATTTTTTAAAAAATTATATAGTATTTAATAATATTATTTATACAATTTTAAACAATTTCAACTCCTTTATGTTAATCATATCTAAATTAAAAATTAGTATTTTTGTAATATTAAGAAATAAAATATTTAATTAAGATTTCATGAGATTTTATTCTTTTTTTAAGATCAAAATAATAAAAGGAAATTTTTTATTAATTTTAAAATTTATGATTTTTATAATAATAACTTTTTTATATTAATTCATAAAATATTTAACAAAATTCTTTTTTTTTTAATTTTTTACAAATTTTCTAAAAGGTTATTACATTTTTCATTAAATATATTTTTAAAAAATTATAAAATTTATTAGATATAAATTTCAGGATACTTGTGAAAAAAATATTTAAATAATTTCACTTTAAAAAATTAAAATGAAAAAGGGTTTAGAGAAAAAAAAAGTGATGCATTTAAATTTTCCTTTAAAAAATTATAATTTTTTTGTTAAAAAATATATTATTTAAATAGAATAAAATGAATCATTTGAATTTGAAATATAAATGTATAATTTTTATTTCATCATATTCTTTTGTTATTATATTTTGAAATATAACGTAATTTATTGAAGAGGATAATTTTGTAATAAAAATGAGATGTGCACAAAGCATTATTGAAGAATCAACTTGCTTTTTTATTTTTTATTTTTAAATTTCCAATTTGCAGAACAAATATCTATCTGTCTGTCCCTGTCTCCTTCATCCTCATCTATTAAAAGCAAACTTTAATATCCAACACAGCTTCGTTCAGCCTTCACTCTCATCCTTGCATTTAGCCCCCCAAAAAAAGCAAAGCAACTCATTTTCATCCCTCTTCTCCATCACTTTCCCGAGAAAAAGGAAAAGGAAAACCAAAAATGAGAGAAATCTTGCACATCCAAGGAGGTCAATGTGGGAACCAGATCGGTGCCAAGTTCTGGGAAGTGATATGCGACGAGCATGGAATTGACAACACTGGAAAGTATAGCGGTGACTCTGATCTACAGCTGGAGCGTATCGTTGTCTACTACAATGAAGCCGGTAGCGGAAGGTATGTCCCACGCGCTGTTCTCATGGATCTGGAACCTGGCACTATGGACTCCGTAAGATCTGGTCCTTATGGCCAGATTTTTCGCCCTGATAACTTCGTCTTCGGCCAGTCTGGTGCTGGTAACAACTGGGCCAAGGGTCATTACACCGAGGGAGCTGAGCTCATTGATTCTGTTCTTGACGTTGTTAGAAAAGAGGCTGAGAATTGTGATTGTTTACAGGGTATCAACATCAACCCTTTAACTTTGTCTTTCTTTTCCATATATTTTTGGCATATGGGTTTAGTTTATTTTGTTGATATCTGTCTTCAATTTTCTGGTTTTCTTCGTTTTCATGTGAAATTTCTCTCATCGTGAAGTCGTGAATAGTGTAAAATACTGAAATTCGTGTATTTAACCAAATAAAATTGCCTGTCACAATTTGTGTTTACATGAAAACATGAAATATATTTTTTTAGTTTTGTTAAACCCATTTGTAATTATTGTTAAAATTTTAAACTGTCACATTTGATTCTTATTTCATACCATTTTCATGTTATGTTATGTTGTGTTTTAAATTGTCAGGTCTGCTATTATTCCTCAATTTTTGCTTCAAGAAAATGAAATTTATTTTCACCTCTCTCTTGCTTTGAAGTGATTGTGGTTGCTTTATGGTTTGATTTTGCATTTAGCTTTTTCTAAGTATTATTTGTTTGATTTATTTATTCCACAAAGCTGGGAAACTGGCCTTCCCCGTTTTGATTAAAGTTGTATTGGTTGGTTTCTTTGTATTAAGAACATGTGTTGCAAGTTCTTCCTCAATTTGATTTAAAGAGATTATTCAAGCCATTTGTTTATGTTTTCTGTAATTATGTTTGAGAGTGATGTGGTCTATCTTGATTTATCGTGGCTTGGTTCCTTCATTTTGGACACCATCTTATCTATTCATGCTTTTTCTTTTGTGATCCTGTTAAATTATTCTTGGCATAAGGGTAAAAAAGAACCTAAAAAATTTTAATGATCAAATAAGCCCTTGACATTTTATTGCGATCAATCGAGCCTTGAATCTTTTACTTCAAATTAATTTAACCCTTAAACATCTATCTTCACCCAATTGAACCCTCATACATCTATTTTCACTCAATTAAGCCCTTGATTGGACGGAAATAGTCAACTATTTTTCCTCTAATAAGGGCTCAATTGATGAAAATAGATGTTTGAGGGTTTAATTGATTGCCAAAAAACAATAATAGCTTGGATGATTATTGAATTTTACTTCAAGGGCTTTTTTGGCTCTTTTTCCATTATTCTTTGTTTCTCAACTTGCATTTCTAGTTTCCTCTCTGCCAAAAAAAAGAAGCCTTGTCTGCCTTCTAATCTCACTTTATGTGCCTTTGGGACAGGATTTCAAGTTTGTCATTCTTTGGGTGGAGGTACTGGATCTGGAATGGGAACCCTTCTTATTTCCAAGATTAGGGAGGAGTATCCAGATCGCATGATGTTGACATTTTCGGTCTTCCCTTCTCCTAAGGTGTCTGATACAGTTGTCGAGCCATACAATGCTACCCTTTCTGTTCATCAGCTTGTTGAGAATGCTGATGAATGTATGGTTTTGGACAATGAGGCTCTGTATGACATCTGCTTCCGCACTCTCAAGCTTGCCACTCCAACTTGTAAGTTCTGGCTTACCATTCTAAATGCCAAGTGTATGCAACGTACAGTTTTTTAGCATTGCCTAACAAACTGCTGGTTTCTACATTTGTTTTCAACAATTTGAAAATAAAATATTTAGTGGCATTAATTCGATAATGTTGCTTTACGTTACTGTTCTGGGTTTTTGTGAACAAGAATTGACAAAAATTTATTATTTATTGGTTGCTTGCTTGCTTGCTCAATTATTAAGGAATTGGTGGCATATTAGCTCCTATCTATGTTATTAAGTCTTAATTGGGTGGCTCATAAGTATCTTTCTTACCCACATATACACCCATCTTTTGTCCCCACAAACATAAAAGAATGTGATGCGTCAGGAATAAATGTTTTTAATACCTGTTTATATGAATTGTGATAATAACTAATATTTTCATATGCTGCTTATGCAAAAATATTGACTGGCTTTCTTTAATGGAATTAATTTCCATAGTTTACATGGTCTGGTCTCTGTGCTTATGTTGTTCCTTTTTTTAACTTGACTCAGTTGGTGATCTTAACCACCTCATCTCTGCTACCATGAGTGGTGTGACATGCTGTCTGCGGTTCCCTGGACAGCTGAACTCTGATCTCCGTAAGCTGGCTGTTAACCTTATCCCCTTCCCACGACTACACTTCTTCATGGTTGGATTTGCACCCTTGACATCCAGAGGATCACAGCAATACCGGGCCCTCACTGTGCCTGAACTGACTCAGCAGATGTGGGATGCCAAAAACATGATGTGTGCTGCTGACCCACGCCATGGCCGATACCTAACTGCTTCTGCAATGTTCCGTGGTAAAATGAGCACTAAGGAGGTTGATGAACAAATGATTAATGTCCAGAACAAGAACTCATCATACTTTGTAGAGTGGATCCCTAACAATGTCAAGTCTAGTGTTTGTGACATCCCACCTAAGGGTCTGAAAATCTCATCCACATTCGTTGGAAATTCAACTTCAATCCAGGAGATGTTTAGGAGGGTTAGCGAGCAGTTTACAGCAATGTTCCGGAGGAAAGCTTTCTTGCATTGGTACACCGGTGAGGGAATGGATGAGATGGAGTTTACCGAAGCTGAGAGTAACATGAATGATTTAGTTGCCGAGTACCAGCAATACCAGGACGCAACAGCAGATGAAGAGTACGAGGAGGAGGAGGAGGAGGAAGAGGAGGAGGAAGCTACAACTTGAGGCAGGAGACTCTATACTTCTTTCAGATGGTATGAAATTTGTATCTTGGTTTGTGTTGTTGATGGGGTCAAATTTAGATTGACATCATGTGTATGGTTGTTGTGGGTCCTTGTATCTGGGATGGCTTTTTATGACTACGCATTTGCTTTAACGGCTTGATGAATGATGGATGCTTGTATTTAGTAGATTTGGAGATAATATTATTTGTGTGATACTATGTCTTTTATGATCCAAGGCGTCCATGGAATTTGTATCAAGTACCGTCTTGTGGCTTTATATTATACATATATATATATATATATATATATATATATAAATCTAACATCCAACTTATACATATTTTGTGTCTGTTTTATTGACTTGTGTTCTTTTTACAATACTCTCTAAAAGTCAATGTTAAATGATTATATGGCAAACTTGTATTCAGACAAACTTAATTGTTTTAAATATCTTTTAATAATGATTGGTGAGTATGATAAATAAATAACAGTGTAACTTAAACTTTTCTTAAATAATTATATAAAATTTGATTATAAAAATAAATAAATAAATAAATGAAATTAACTAACAATAAATTCAATTTAAATTTATTTAATTAAATATATTAAACAAATTCAAAATTGGGGGAGGAAGGCTTGCTGGCTCTAACTACAATCTTCCTTTGAATCTAATTATTAAAGAATTTAGTCGTTCATGATTTTGTGGTTGTTATTTCCACCAGATTCTTTGGCGACGTCGTCTTGTTGTTGGTGATGATCCCTTGCACGATGTTAATCTTGTATTGGCACCAATATGGAGAACTGAACCATATAGATAATGGCGTCAAGGCACACACTAGGTGTCGTTTCCAATTAAATTTATTTGTCCTCACCAATTTCTAGAGTGCAAAAAGGGTCAATCAAATAGTTCGTGATATAATAAAGCTTTTGTTAGAATTCATTTTGCACTAGTAAGATTTTAATCGCTAAATTCCCTAGAAGAGAACGGAAATATAGCCTTGGTTTATATCTTCTATAATCAAACAAAGTTTATGAGAATTTTTTTATGTGAAGTGAGAGAGAGGGAGTGAAATCTGAACATTTTTTTATGAATGATTTAATTGAACAGAAACCTAGTGTTTTATCTGAAAGATTTAGCTTTTCGTCGAGGGCAGCCGACTCCTTCTCAAGAGTAATCGACTACAACTATGTAACATGCAAGTCTAAAATGCCACTTACAACAGGGTAGTCGCTGCTACTACCTTAGGGCAGTCGATTTCCCTAAATTTCAAAATGCTTCTTACTTAATAGCAGTCAACTTTTTTTTAAACCAATCGATTTCTATGCATTTACAAAAATTTTAAGTTTAAGTAATCAAATGATTTAATTTTTAATCATAACAGTCGATTGTCTTAAAATTAAAAATTGATTGTTTCTTATAATTAATATGTGACAGTTGACTCCACTAAGTATAACAACCAACTATTCTTTCTTAATCAAATTATCTTTTGATTATGAAATTTTCTTGAGCTAATCAACTATTACCTTATTTTTTCACTTATTATGAAAGTATTTTTAACTCAATTAATTGTTGATAAATGTACTTAATGTTTAATGTTTGAATAGTATAAATACCTCTAAATCAAACCAAAATTGTTATATTTTAGCTTTTTTTTTTTTTATATTTCAATATGTTTTAAGAGTATAAATTATTGGATTTGAATCATTAGAAAATAGATTTTTATTTTTAGTTTATTTATAATATGGTCTGTGAGAGTTGAGATGATTGATCCACATACATATCAATTCATGATTTTGGCAAGTGATGGCCTTTGGAAGGTATAAACTGTAGGCTTAGCTTTTGAGTAAATTTACAACATTGATATAATATCATCAATTCTGCTTGTGATGATGCCCTAGCAAGAAGCATCTGAAGAACTGATCAAAGAAGCATTAACTAGCTAGGGAAAGTCAAGATGATGATATCTCTTGCATAGTTGTAGCTTTTCACTGATCGCATTTACTTCCTTCGTATCTTTTCTCAGCCAAACAACGCATATCATAAATATAAATAGGTTCATTTACTATTGTCAAAAGCATGCATACGTCAACTCGTATGCATCAACTTACACTTGAATCATGCATGCTTGGCCTCCATATCTTCAAGTTTGAGAATCACGGCTCGTTTGTGAGCATCCAGCCCCTCAACTTCAGCCATGGTGGCCACATATGGGCCAAGTTTGGAAAGAACATATCCACGATAGCCATAGGTTTGAAGAACATCGTTTGTATCATTTGCATAGTCTCCCACACTATGGCATCCATTGCCCTAGGAACACAGAACCTGCAAAATCTCTTTCCGAGACCCCAAAAGTGGTCGTTGAGCTCAACATATAATTTGGCACCAGAAAGCTTGTTATATAGCTTACATTACTTGTTTGCAGATCTAACTTTCAAATTAACAATAGGTGGAATCCGGAGCTTAGCTCATTGGTTTATGTTGCCACTCTTAAGAGGTGGTTTCAACAGGTGTGGGGATCGAATTCCATAGTTTGACCACTTCAAGCCAAATCTACTAGAAGTTGCAATCAGTCAAGTATCCTCAATACGAGAAGAAATTTAGTCAAGTCCAATTAGTATATGGAGTTAGGCCAAAAAAAAAAAAGTATATGGAGTTATGGACAAGACAACTACAATCAAGTCTGATTGAGAAGGCGTTGAAATTCTCTTGAACTGTAATTAGGATATACGTATTTCAATTAAAATGGTTCTTTACAATGTATAATGAATAGAAGCTGAAGATATACAAGAATAGCGACTGGCAGTAAAGCTGGTCTCACAAAAGGCTGTTCCATGAGAGTAAATCAAACCAACACTATCAAACTAAATGTATATAACAGTCTAAATGAAACTGGTCTTCATGGACTGGTTATGTCACGGAAAACCTGCAGCCGGTTCCTCCTTGACAAAACAGTGTTTGGTGATGCATTGTATCCACCTTTCATGTCAAATGATTCAAGCTGTTGAGCTATGTTCTCAATATGATCCTTAGAATCAGGATGTTGATAAATTATGTTGGAATTCAGATTTTCATCATTGAACTCCTCTTCCCTGTTAAAGCCTTCATAGCTCTTCCCCAGATATTTTCTTCCACTTTGCAATTCTTCTTTTTCTTCTTCTTCTTCAACCATATCTGCCCAGCTTTTCTTATTAGGTGCATTTGCAGGCTTTTCCAGTCCAATTTCTGATTCATCTTTAGATGAAACCAGTAGTTCATTAAGATTTTGAGCTGAATGCCTAGTCACACTGGTTATAGTCTTCTCAAATGATAGCTTGCAAACTGAACTGCCAACAGATTCTTCTGCCCATCTTCCCCTTCTTTGATCTCTATTATTCAGCCATAACAAAGAGTTTCTGGGCTGTGTGAATAGAACTCCAGATAAGCCATCCTGGACTTCCTCTTCCTCTAGGCCAGTTGCAGAATTTTCCAACTTTCCATTACTTGATGCTTGTGGTTCTTCCTTGAGATTCTGGATTGAAGGTGAAGGCAAACTTTCAGTGGCTAGAGTTTGTTCAAAAGATAGTTTTCGAATTGAATTTCTAACTGTATCTCCTCCCCATCTTCCTCCTCTCCTCTGATCTGCAGTGTTGAACCCCCATGAACATTGTCTTGGTTGGGTAAACAAAGCTTCTGAGTTCTTTCTATTAGCTGCTGAGGAAGCATATATTTTCTTCTGAACAGAATCTACTTCTTGTCCTGTTGAATACCTCCAGTTTTCATTCAGCTTGCTGGAATACACGGACCCTTCACACGGGCTTTCCATATATGAACCTTTTCTCCACTTCTCAGTGAACAAGGTTTGTGGAGAAGACTGCAAAGTACCTTTCAGTCCAATTGGTGTGCATTGTGAACTTCTGTCATCATATTCATAGAAGTTATCATTCTTCTCAAGGTGATTTTTACAGTCAGATTCACCATTTTGCTCATCTGACAGCATCTTCCCTTCGCACTGTGCATATTGTAACCTTCTCCTGCCCATAAACCCAGGAATGTTAACTTCATTTCTAGGAAGGACAACGCTAGCTTCCTTCAAACTTCTATCCCTGTTTGATGTTGAGGATCTTCGAGTTTCGCTTCCCTTATCTGGTTCCTGTGCCACCGGCTCTAACATTGATTGCGATTCTATTTTCATCAGCACTTCAAGAGCACGTTCATAGGATTTAGAGTAGGATTCATCCATATGTTCATTTCCAGATGAAGCTTTGACATCCTGAAGCAGTGATTTTGCTTCACCAATCCTGTTCATGTGCACCAAGCATATCGCCAGGTTGCATTGTTTATTCTTATCTGGCTCCAGGGACAAAGCTTTTCTGTGGTAAGGATACAAACTTGATGTAAAATATAATACATGTATAAATTTTTCTCAAAAATAATGCTATTCATGTATATATGTGTAGGGTAAATAAAAAGAGCATACCTGTAATGTTGCTCAGCAATTCCATAATTATGTTGCTGGAGATAGGCCCAGGCCAAATTCCCTAGTATCCTGAACCATTATAAGAGGGGATCAAACATAGATAAAGTTGCAGAAGATACATGTAGAAAGAATAAGAATAATAAAGAGTTTGAGTGCAACATCCACCTTGATTTCTCTTGTTCAATAGTTATCTGAATCTTCTTCCCTTGAGATCTTGCAAGTTTTGTTCTCTTTCCACCAAAAACTGCTCCATCATCAATGTTCCTCAGTTTGTTCTGAAGGATTCCAATCTCTTCTTCAACCCTTCCAGACCTCTGAAAAACAAACAATTTTATAAAACAAATAAGCCCTGAGTCTCCAAATGAAGACTATAAACTGAACAATATGTCATCATAAAATACAGCTGAAGCCAACTACATAGGATGCCAAATAAAAGTCTTCAACATAAATGACCTGATAAACAGACACAGACAGACATGTACTAGCTCTCCATATAGAATATAAAATTTTTCAGAGGTATATATACCTTTGCATCTAAGTTTTTACTGCTGCACAAATGTATTTTTCCTATATGTAACTATATATTTTTGCCCATTACAAACTTTCAACTACATTAGCACCCTTTTATCTTCTTGTGAATTCGTTTAGAACTTTTCAATTTCCAGCTACACGCTATGTAGTTCCTGGTGGTTCCTAAAATATTATAAGTAGAAGCGAAATTCCTAGTGGATTTTACTAGGTCAAATCTTAGTGCATTTATGTAGGTAACTATGCTTTTTCCATTCATTCCAAATGGCTATGACATTATGGTCCTCAAAATGCCACCATCAAGTCTATATCTATAGCCTTATTGAATCAGTTCTCACTTACCCTTGTTGATTCCAAATTTTAACTCTACTAGATCCTCTAAGAGTAAATGAGAATGAGGCAATAAATTTATGACATTTCCATCAAAATGGCATGAATTGAAAGAAAAAGCATGATTCATGAGCTCCTAAGCTTCCTATATTAGACTCATTCATCTAAACTCAATTTAATAACAAGCAAATGAAAAGTAAGCTTGATATAAACAGATACACATTTGAAGATAAGATTAGCATTGTACCTTGTAGAGTTCAACAAGGACATTATCAAGAGAGTCCTGAGAATCATAAGGACAAAGATGTCGGAAAGATTTGATTGCCTCAATAGCCTCATCAGATCTATTCAATTGTTTCATAACAACAGCCATGTCTTTCAATGCACTATCAACACGATCTCCAGCATTAATAGCTGCCCAGAACAGAGAAATGGCCTTACTGGGATCCTTTTCTATCAACTGTAAGTCCAAAACAAAATCATATTAGTATATGCAAACATATGCAATGTAAGCTCACCATCGAACTCATTTAATGCTGTAAAGCTGGAGAAAATACAATCACAAGAATCCCCAAAGATTCTGTTTTGTTTTAAAATGATGTAAGTTCACAAGCAACCTATATATATATATATATATATATATATATATGTTCCTGGTAACCCATGTTGAAAAGAAACAAGAGAAAAAGAATGGAAATGGATGCATCCACACAAAGAACCAATTATCAAGAAAAGAAATGAAAAAAAGAAAAAAGAAAAAAAAACCCATTTACGAAATAAGTTGAGATTGAGAAATGGTGTGATTAACCTGGACTTGCTTTGCCCTGCCATAAGGAGAATCAGAAGGTGGCACTTTGTGAATGACATGAAAGCAATCTCCGTTATTGGCGGGCGATATTCTTTTCCTCTCTGACATTGGCAAGACGTTAGTCGACTGTGGTTTCTTCCACGCAGGCGGCTGTGGGGTCAAGAAACCCCTCCCTGGAAAGTCTTTATCATTTGACCACATTTTCTCTCTCTTTTTCTAGGCAAAATCTCAAAACCCTTTTCCAGAATTTCCAAGAAAGTGCTTCTATCAGTGGGAAAAAGAAGCGTTTCCAGTGATAAGCAACTACTGCTACTCTAAACAAAGCAAAGAGTCTTTTATTGAGTCGTTTCTTCAATGATCTCTCTTATGGTGGGGAAAGCCACTTTATCTCTTGAAAAATTCTGTTAATGCTTGATGAAAAAGGGAAAGATTCCAGGAAAGTGTGAGAAATTGAGAGAGAAAATTGAAAGAGAAAAGAGCGGTGATGATGATGATGATGAGTCGTTTTGAGAGGATTGCGAAGAGGAAAAGTCGTAAGTAGACATTGGAAGAAAAAAGAACTAGCCGTTTGATAATTTATAGCCGTTGCCGCTTTGGAGGACTCAAGCGCTTCTGTAGCGCGTGCGGTTGAACAATGTCATTTATATATTTTTTTTCTACCAACAGGTATTAGAAAAATTTACGAAATCTAATTGAATTTTCTCGAAAATTTGGCTTGAAAGCTTTGAAAAACACTTACATTTTAAATTGGATAAGCTGCAAATTTTTTACGTTGTAAATTGGTTAAGTTACAAATTTGTTTTTCAATTTTTTAATTGATGCAATTATACCATTACATTTTTAATTTCGAAAAAAATTTATCATCATATTTGAAATTTAAAATTATTAAAGAATATTTAGTAAAAAATTTTATTAGAAATTATTTTGTACCATGAAGCTAAAATTTATTTATTTTTAAATTTTTTCTCTTATCATAGTATTTTTTTAGTAAATACAATATCACTAAATATTACATTTTCCCGTTGGTCTTAGGTTTTTTTTTTCTTGTCATATGTTTTCAAAATATTTTGTATTACAAAACAATTTCTAATAAAATTTTTAACGAATATTCTTTAATTACTATAAAATTTAAAGTATAATAGTAATTTACTCTAAACTTAAAAATATAATAGTAAATTATGTATGATAAATTAAATTATATTAATGGTATGCATTTTAAAACCATCAATTTTTTTTTAAGAGAAAAGGATTATTATTATAATTTATTAAGAATTACAAGAACCATATTAAAAAAAAATTACAAAATCCATTGTAAAGTTATTGAATTGATATGGTATACGAAAAATCAAACAAAAACCATATAATTTGTTTTGACAAGAAATGAAAATTAAAAGTGTAAATGATATATTAGTATTCATAAATTATTTAAATTTGATTCGAATAAAATTCGAATTTAATTCAATTATTATTGAGTCGAGTTAGAGTTCGAATAGTTCGATTCATCGATTAAATCAAATTTGAATATTCTTATACTTGATTCAAGTAGTTTACAAGCTTAATCAAATTTTTATATTTAAATATATTTTTATTATTTTAATTAATAAAAATATCTCGAATTCGAGTATAAATAATTCAATTTTGTTGAATATAAAAATCGAATTTATTTTTATATGTTAATCGAATCTAATTAAATGAATTTAAATAGTTCAATTTTTAATTCAAATACAGTTTAAACTAAAAAAATAAAATTTGATCGAATTTAATTTTTAAACTTTTAAAATTTGAATCGAACTTAAACTTAAGTTTAATATTATATCGATTCAAATTTGATTTATTATATTTCTAATTAAAACATTGGTTTACTCATTTTATATAGAAGCTTTGAAGACTCCAAAGTTGTGAAAAATGATTTTAGAGGTTGTCGATGGTGTTGCCGGTTAAGATGTGCTAATCGGTAAGTTCCAAGGCGAGTGGGGTTGGTCCAAATCAGCGACAAAAAATAAGATTAAGAGATATCTAAAATTATTTTTGGGAATACGTTTCAACGTTCAATTAATCAGATAATTTAAGATTTTTGAAAAATAAAACTTAAATTATAAAGAGTATGAAAAAAGTTTAAGGACAAAAAATTCAAAATGTGTATATAAAAGATAACAGTGAAAACATGATTTGATAACAATTAATAAAAAGTTTATGCGAAGTTTAACAAAATTTTATTAGATAAATATGAATTATATTTAATAAATTCAGATCAATTAAAAGCTAATAGATCTATTATAAAATGATACATTGATAGAACAATAAAGGTGTAAATAGATGAGACAAGGGTATTTTTGTAAGAAAAGTATGGGACGTATAAAATATATTTTAGGATGTATAAGTTTTTGATATAAAATATAAGTTAAAGATAATTTTATATTTTAAATTTGGGATATATAAGTTAAAGATAATTTTATATAAGTGTTAATAAATGTATCCCATTATTTTCTCTCTACATCTCATGTTTTAATTTTTTATAAGTAAAATTATTTAATTACTTTTTTTTTTTACACAAGCTTTTGAAAATATATTTTTGAAAAATTATAATTTTTTTTAGAAATAGATTTTCCAAAAATAAATTTTTGAAAGTTTTTAAAGATTTTCATACATTCATTTATAAAAACCTCCAAAATATTTCGAAAAGTTATTTTTAAAATTTTTAAAAAAATTTGAATATTTATTTTTTAAAAGTTATATGATTTTTTTGAAATTTATTTTAAAAACTTATATAAAAAAATAATTAAATATTTTTACTTATAAAAAATTTTAAAAAAAGTTGGAACGTGAAGAAAAAATATTGAGTGCATTTAGCGGCGCTCATTTTATATTTTAAAGTAAAGCATCTTTAACTTTATTTATAAGTTTCCAATAATACCCTCTCTGCTTTTCCCTGCCACCATTCCCCTCGCTCTCACCCCCGGCTAAGCAACCCAAACACAACGCTAAAAACTCCGTTAACTCTCACTGGCAGAAAAGAATCCCAAAGCCAAACAGAAATTACCTCTACAGCACCTATACCTATACGTATATTTCTGCTACGGAGGTACGATATTTACTCCATTAATTATTACTTCAATAATTTTTTTTTAGGTGTCTCCACCCCTTTATATTTCCTTCAAGTTTGATTCGAATTCATGTTTTTCAGTTTCATAGTTTCTGTAATTTGGCTGCCAAAGTAGTCATTGCTTTTTCTTCTCTTTTTTTTTCCTTTTATTTTTATTTTCCAAGTTGAGGGGCATAAAAGAATATGCTATGTTTGAACTTTATATTTTCTATGGAATTTCTTTTTTACTTTTTTGCATTAAAAATTTCAATTTAAGAGGCTCCAATTGTCATTTTAATTATTATAAGAATGTTAGTTTGGGTTTTCTTATTCTAAAGCAATTATAATATATATATATATATATTTATGCAAATTGTGGTCTCAAGTTGTTTAGTTAGTTTTTTTTTTTTTTTAAGGTAATTATGATATATATATTTTTATGAAAATTGTGGTCTCAAGTTGTTTCATAGGGCGTTTTATTGGCTAAATCAAATGGTATCTTTTTTTTTTTTATTTAATGGTAGTTCTTTTATGAACTTTTCATTTTCATATTTGCTTCTGGGTATGCTTTTTTTTTTTTTTTTGTACAGATAATTGGAGTGATAGTTTTTGTTGGTTTCTATATGAATCTTTTGAATTCAAGCCAAATATAATATCATCTACTGTAGTTATTTTGTTGATCCTGTATACTTTGTTCTGTTTTAGCTTGCTCAGATTGTGCCAATGGTGAATTGATACTCTGATTGAGTTGTTCTTGGCATTTTAATTTCCATATGTGATAAATTAGCATTTTGCTGAACTTTTTTTTTGCCAGATTTATTTATTCAAACACCTAGGGGTCGCATGGAAACCAGGGGATCATTGGCGCAGGCAAGAAGAAAGCTAATGCTTACACCTAAGGCTATTGTACACCAGAAGTTTGGAAACAAAGCCTCTTATAAGGTAGAGGAAGTAGATGAACCTACTCAAAATGGATGCCCAGGACTGGCAATCCATCAGAAGGGTCCCTGCCTTTATCGTTGCATCTTGGAGCTTCCAGATTTTTCTGTTGTGTCAGGTTCCTTTAAGAAGAAGAAAGATGCTGAGCAGTCTGCTGCTCAGATGGTGTTGGAAAAGGTTTGCATCACCTTGCTCACCATACTGATTTCCTTATACTTCTAGTTTGATAGATGTGTCATTAGCCGCATTGATTGCTTCATTGTGATTTTTGGTGATAGGTTGTGGAATATATAGTGAAACTCAAGAAAAAATGAACATATTTCTCCTTGCATCGATTAAATAGGTGTTCCTTAGTTTGTTGCTAGGATTGCTCGTGTTAATATTGGCTTCATTTTGACAAGGTTGGTAGCTTGGAAGGCATGAGTTTAAATTAAAGGAAGCATTTCATGACGAAAAATACCAATTAGAACCCCAAAGCCCTAATTTGTAGAAACAAAGTAAAATACTAATTAACATTAAATATTCTAAATAATCTAAAATAGCCTGGATAATTAACAAAATTACAATCAAACCCATATAAAAATAAAATAAGGTCTTAAGGATGTGTTTGGTACATAAGATTATGATAGGATAGGATAAGATGATATTATGAATATGATTAAATTAAATAAAATCATTCTATCTTGTGTTTGATGTGAGCAAGGATTAGGATATGATAATTTATTTATTGGTCAAAATTATCCTTCTTCAAAGTTTATACAACTTAAATTATTGATGTAATTTTTAAAAGTATAATAGGATATGTAAGTTCAATCCCATGGATTAAAAATAATCCTCTGCACTTTGGGCGAATTGAATCATCTTATACCAAGAGGATGATTAATCCTCCTTGTAATCCTACCCTTTTCTATAGATACAAACCAAACATAATATAAGATGATTATCATCTTATCCTATCTATCATCCTATGCACCCAACATGACCTAATAACTTAGTCTCTTAATTAGGATTTCTCCATCCTCCATAATTGATGTAGTACAAATAACTCACAACTCAATTTCCAGAAAATCTCGATAATTTATACGTCAAAAGCCTCCTAAAACTTTTATAACTTAGTTATTTATGACTGAAAATGAAACCCTAATAAAAACATAAAGGACCAATTATAACCCTAAAGCCCTAATTTGTAGAAAAGAAGTAAAACACTAATTAATATTAAGTAGCCTAAATACTTTAAAATAGCCTATATGATTTTAAAGATTACAATCAAACCCATAAAAAATAAAATAAAGTCTGAAATAACTTTTTTAGTTTTGTAGGTAAGATGGTGATCCAAGAGGGGGTGAATTGGATTTCTTCAAATTCTTCCCAAACAAATGATTTTAATATAATTGGATGAAATTTAAAACCAATACCAAAATATGATGCAAACACTAATGAATGATGAACTATAAGCAAATATGAACTATAATCAAAATAAAGAGATAGGAATAGAGAAATCAAACACAAGAATTTATAGAGGTTTGGTCTTTTTCCACAAGGCACCTACGTCCTATCTCTTGGTTGTCCACACCAAGGATTCAATCCACTATACTTGAATTGAAATTACAATCTTATCTTTTTCTCATTAAGGCTTAAGATAGAGACCTTATACTTTGTACTTTCTAGGCTAAGTAGTAACCTCTCAATCCCACAAATTTAAGAGGATGCCTCACCTCTTGATTACAAAATCACTTAATAACAATGCAAACTTAAAACACCTCTCAAAGGCTAAGTGTTTGCCTAATGAAGTACAAGGAAATGTGATGAATGAAGAACAACAATATTTTGGATACAAGAAATACAAAGGATATTGAACTTAAGCTCTAAATAGTCTTGATTCTAAGAGAAAATGAAAATATAACTTGTTAGCCCTTGCTCTCTTGCTTCATCAACATTCTTGGTGTGTTGGAATGGCCAATATATAGAGAAAATGAAGAGCTAGCCGTTAGGGATGCTTGGGAGAAGAAAATAGCCATTGAAAGCATGAAAAAGTAGCCGTTGGACACATTCTGGGCATGACCCGATCGATCACTTCCATGAGGGGATCGATTGGTTCATGTTTTAAAGCCAATTTTGCCTTTGAAAATGCCTACTCAATCGATCCCTTTATGTAGGGGATCGATTGGTTCAAGGGGGTGATCGATCCCCTACATAGGGTGGTCGATCCCTTTTTCATACATGAGCACAAACCTGCATTAAAAATCAATCGATCATTTCCCTAAGGGGATTGATCCTATCCAAGCCAGGTAGTTGTCTTCTGTTTTGCACTCTACTCACTAATTTGATCATATTTCGAGTTATACAAATCCAAATCACAAACTGTTTAAAGATTTAGAAACTCGACTTAAAGGGCTTTCTATCCATATAAAATTCATCACCTAATTCATTGTGTACGAGTTATAGTGAATTTTCAAAACTACCCATTGTGCAGTTTTTAGACAACTACAAAGTGTCTAGGAAAAATTCAAAATCTTTTTTAAGAAAATTTGGATTTTGATTTTGTTTAATCCATTAGGAAGTAGACTCAAAAAGCTTTCCAACCATATAAAATTCAAATATTAAAACATTGTGAATTAATACAAAAAAATAAAACAAGTTCAATGTTGGAAAACTTTGTTCTTGTAAAACAACTTTCTTAAGTTAATATTTTTCTCAAAACCAATATTATCAAAATTGTATCAAGTCCAAAATGAATAAGTTCACTTTAAAAACAACAATTGGATTTTCATTTAAGCTCAAATAAATAATCTTTAAAAATAGATTTGATTTGAGCAATATGAAAACAAAGAAAGGTTTGTTTATACTTTGAAAAACATATTATTTATTTAGTATCAAAAATAAAACTTAAGAACATGTACTAAATAAATCTTTTTCTAAATCTTGATCAAGCTTATTTAGCTTAATGTTTTGTCATTTCAAAATAAGGATCAATTCAAGGCTAATAAACTTAGTCTCTTAGTTAGGATATCTCCATACTCCATCGGTTGCTCTTTCATTTTCAAATAAATATCTCAAAAGTTTTGCCTGGTAATACAAATATTTGTTATTATTCAAGTTTGACTTTTGGATTGTGGGAAGTTGGACCAAATTGTTTACAAGGAGCATAGGGACATGTTTGAGCATCTCAATTTCTTAGTAGTCCGGTATCAACTCCTATAGCTTTTGGAGCTGGCATACAACTCATATACATTCCTGTGCAGTTTTGCATTTTCTCAAAAATAGTTAATTTGTTAAGCCATTTTCATGGTGCTACTATCAAAGTACAATGTCATGGTATTGTACACGTTACAGTAATGATCCCTTGTTTATTGAACTGTGTCTTTGAGATTATAATAACTTTGGGTTTCATCATTCTATATGTGGATGTAACAGGGTTATCTTTGCCTTTTCAGAAAGAATAACGTTAAGTGAAGAAAGATTAATATTATTTTTTGCATGAAACTTAAATTAAATCTACATATTCCACATGATCATATTTTATTTCAAGCCTTAGCAGCTTTAGCATTTGTACTTTGATGGCTAACTGCATAGATTTCTAACGTTGCCCTGTAATATTGTCCAATTAAAATCTGCAAATCATTTATCAGTATAAGCACTAATGATTAGAGCTATTCATCATGCATATTGGGATAGATCTTGTTCCTAGCCAATCATTTTGCTACTTTGATTACTTTGATTTCAGCTCTTCTTGGGATTTTTTTGTTAGTATTTTAAGTTTATTTGTCCTTCTAGATTTCAAATTATTATCTAGTTTTCCTTTTATCCATGCAAAAATTGTCATTAATTTGTCCAAATGAAGCTGTCACTTCTTTTTCTTTTCATCTTCTTAATTTTCTTTATTTCTATTTCCAAATTGCAGCTTGGCATCCATCCTTCTGCAGATAGTCCCACAGCAGAGGAAGATTGGACAGAGTTGATTGCTTTTATCAAATTTATATTCTCAAATGAGGTTGGTGGAAATTTTGTCTGTTTGGTTTTTATCAGCAATAGCATGGATTTGTGCATTCCCATGTGCATCAGTGGGGTTGTGTATGCATGTGTATGCTACTTCTATTTTTTTCTTCAAATATACTCAACTAATAACCATGATACATGTAAACATGGAATTGTCTGTGGACTTTTATTCTTGTTTCACTGTATATCATGAAATCATCTGGTGGCGTTGAACTGTACAACTTTCTACTAGAATAGAAGAAAGGATCGTAGATAACAGAATATGGCATTATCCTACCCTTGCTTGTGGGAAGCTTGGACGAGCTAGCTTTTTCCATTCTGTGTCCAAATTTTACATGGGCAAGTTTGAAGCAGTTTTTTTTTTCCTTACGACTGCAATGGCTTCCTGACTCATCTTTACCAAGTGAGTTCAATGGAGTAGCGTTCCTCTGCAGTCTGCACCCTGCCTTTTCCACTAGTCATTTCTACAAGCACAATTTAACTGTGTTAGCCAAATTTTCTTGACTCTGCTTTATCCTCTCATTTGTGAAGTTGGTTTCATCTCTTAATCATGCATTTATGTTCATTTTTATCTATTTTTTATATTATGAGGACACACTTCTATTGCTTTAAGTAAATCAATTTCATTCTAATTTTTTCTCCCTTTATCTTTTTCATCAAGTTCCTTTCAGTTCTTCATCCTCTGAGCAGTCACTTCAAAGCAGCTTTGTGCAGAGCTGGTGATCTTAATGGTTCAGTTCCTGCTTCTGTTATTGCTATATGCGATGGGAAGCCTAGTAATCTCTGCAAAATAATTAATCCTACAGTGGAGTCTCATCCTTTCTTGGTCTTATCATATATTATGAGCGCTGCTGCAGGATTACCAGAGTTGGTTTTAGTCCTGAGGGACAGCTTTCGATTCAGAGGAAAGATCCTTATCATCCTGATGTCATAGAATTATCAGTACCTCAACAATTAGGTGTTGCTGAAAGCATATCGACTATGGCCATATTTATACCATGTTCACCTGAAAAGGCTGTTGAACCATTGATTCTTAATATTTCATCAACAGATTATTACCTTGATGTTATTGCACAAAAACTTGGATTATCAGATGCCAACAAGGTTTTGATCTCGAGGTATGTTGAAACTGTTAAATGATTGATGATGCCTGGAATGGCAATTCTATATGTGAAGGACGCTCCTTAAAGATTACTCATCCTAAGGAGCTAACTATCATTTGTTCTCAGGACTATTGGTAAAGCTTCATCTGAAACAAGGTTTTACTTTGCTGCTCCTGAGTCATATCCACTAGATATGTCATCTGATCTTCTAAATGCTAAAGTTGCTACGTTTGGAGGACCTTTGAATGCAAGGGCCAGCTACATTTGTAGCCAAGATATATATGGTGACACAATTTTGGCATCCATTGGTTACACTTGGAAATGCCAAGACCTTTTTCATGAAGATGTCATGTTGCAATCATATTACAGGTCTCTTCTTCATTCGCATATAAAATTTCTTCTGATATTTTTTTCATCTGTAAAGCTTTTTTATTTTTGGGGTTCAAATTAATTCACAGTGCTTGTGAAAACTCTGGCTGCAAATAACTTCAGCTGAAAAGACTGCTAGTATGTCTTACCTCGATTTGTTTGAAGGGCTCAAAATTCATGCTCAACCTTATCTTTAAAAGTGCTTTGCTGTTATAGAAATGAAGAGCAAAGCATAGGAAATTTTCCAAGTTCCAGCTAGGTTTAGGTCTTCCTATGTAATGTTTCTAGCTTAGGTAAGCTCGATATTAACTCAATGCATTGATCTAAGAAAGAAAGTATCAGCCACTAGTGGTATTTCAGTATGGCTGCTTATTCAGTCAGTTACCTGCTTATAGTGGTATTTCTTGTATGATGCAACTGTATGAGTTTGTAACTGTTCACTGTATAATCGTTTTGGACGAATTTATGCAGGATGCTTATAAGTAAAATACCAAGTGGAGTTTACAAGTTGTCCAGAGAGGCAATACTTGCAGCAGAGTTGCCCCTGACATTTACTACAAAGTCAAACTGGAGGGGTTCTTTCCCGAGAGAAATTCTCAGTTCATTCTGTCGCCAGCACCAGCTATTAGAACCTGTCTTTTGTGCCTCAAGCATTCCTACAAAAGCATCAACGGAGTTGTCAAGATCAAACAAGAAACTAAAGGTTTCAGAGTCAGCTGAGCAAGAGACAGAGTATGCAAATAAAAATGGTGCTGTTGATGCTGATGCTAAATCAGTGGGGTTGGGAAGCAGTTTTACTTGTGAAGTAAAATTATATTCTAAGTGTCAAGATTTGATTTTGGAGTGTTCACCCAATGTTTTGTATAAGAAGCCAAATGATGCTGTCCAGAGTGCTTCTTTAAAAGTTTTATCATGGTTGAATGCATATTTTAAGGATATAGATATGCCTTTAGAGAAGCAAAAACAATCAGCCAATGTATTTGATATTAAGTTTTATCCTCAAAATTTTTCCAAGGAAGTTGTACGATGCCTATCTGTTCATAACTGTCAGCATAATAAAACTTTGGGAGGCAAAGAACCTGAATCAACCAGTATTAATATTCTAAATGGTGTGGTGGAAAATGATGTGAGTTCTATAAATATAGAAGGTCCAGATTCTAGTGTTTTTCCATCTAATGGGTCCCTTTTGTGTATGTGTTATTCTGTATCTTTAGTGACAAAAGGTAAACTTCAGAAAGAGCTTCTTGAAAGTATTGAGGAGTTTGAGTTTGAGATGGGGACTGGGGCAGTGATTCCCTGTCTTGAAGCTGTTGTCACTCAGATGTCTGTTGGCCAGTCTGCTTGTTTTTATGCAGAGTTGCCTCCTGAAGATTTGGTTCTGGCTGCGGCTAAGGATTCTGCAAATGCTGTTGCATTCTTATCTTCACGTGAGTATATACATTCTTCAAGTGCTATATAATAGTTGAAAATTTTCCTTATCTTGATCCCAAGGTTGAAAGATAACTAGGGATTTTGTCTGCCTTCAATATTTTGGTAGTGTCTAAATCTCTATGTTGCATGTTGAATAAAAGTATCTCTTAGATTAAAAATCGTTTGTGGTGAGCAAGGGAAGTGTAATATATTTTGCACATGAGACAAACATTACATGTTAATGCAAATTTCAGTTAATGTGCACTTTATTAATTTCAGTTCTTTATGTGCAACTATATGTTTAATATCTAATTATCAAGTATTTATGTGCAACATACATGGAAACAAATACTAATAGCAATAAATGGAGGCTGTATAATACTTCTTTTGTGGCAGAATTGCTTTAAATTGGTTGAAGATCTAATTGACTGTACTTGGTTTTCTTTGCATAAGCCTGCTGCTTGGAGTACTCTATCATTTTGTTACGGGTGATAGAACCCCCAGAAGACAGAATGGAACAGGCTCTTTTCAGCCCACCACTTTCAAAGCAACGTGTAGAATATGCCCTGCAGCACATTAAAGAATCTTGTGCTACTTCTTTGGTACTTGCCTTGTTTCCTCTTTTTTGTCAATGTTGATAATAACAATTACAGTTTGAGTTCGTGATATGTTCTGTTGTAGGTTGATTTTGGATGTGGCTCTGGTAGTTTACTGGAGCCTTTGTTGGATTATCCAACTTCTTTGGAAACAATTGTTGGTGTTGATATTTCACAGAAGAGTCTTATCCGTGCGGCAAAGGTGTGTGCTAGTGTATTTTGGCTTTACATATGGCCAAATGAATTTTAGTAGGTCATTTCTGAGCATTATATGAAGGATATGGACAAAAGCAATAGTCCCATTGTTGCATATCATAAATGAGTGGATAAGGATTTTAAATCATCTTATCTGTGTGCTATATTATTCTTTCACAAGTTAAAATGTGCCTTAGCTACTTATCTTTGATTCTCTTCATTACACAGGTTCTTCACTCAAAACTAACCATGAAGTCAGATCCTGATGCACCATGTAGGAGTATAAAATCTGCAGTTCTTTATGATGGTTCTATCACAGATTTTGATTCTCGGTTGTGTGGATTTGATCTTGGCACGTGCTTAGAGGTATTTAGAACCAACCCTTTTAATGAACCTTTCCTTACAGAACCATTGGTAATTAATGCTATATTATTGATGCAATAAACTGTTAATTTGCAGATTATGTTTTTAAGAAACTGTGATTGTACTTGCTATTTCTTATGTGTTATTTCGTTGTAGTCTTTATTCTTTATTCAAAAGCTTAAGTTCCCCTATGTACCGTCAATTCTTCTACCTGGCCTGGTTTTGGAAATAAACTTTCCATGTAAGCTAATGCCATTGGGTGTGTCTGTCACTTTGTTACCCATGTAACATATTTGTTCTGCACAAATAAGGTTGGCAAGAACAAACTTCTTACCTGTAACAAGAAATGTTGGAATTTGTAATATTTTTTCTTAGTTTTACAATTATGTTAGGTTATGGAGAACATCACATAAAATTGTTTGAATTGATAGCTTAAAAGATCTTTGACACAGATATTGAACTGCATAAATTTGTGGATACTTGTTGGGAAGATGAATACCAATGGGGGATCATACTTAAATTGGCCAAAGGAAAGGTATAAAAAGAAATCATTGCATCATTGTCTAGGTATTCCTTTACATTGTTGTCGAAAGACAAAGTAATGAACTGACTATAAAAAGCTCGGAGTGCTTGAATTATGAGGAGCACATATTAGATTGCATATTTCATAAAAGTGGTTCTATCATGAAATAGAAATACGAGCAATTCGGGATAAAGAGAGGATATTTACAGAAAACTTTAAATAACTCTTCTTTTTGTGCCATATTATGGACTGTGCTTAACTTTTGAAGATTTTGGTTTTAGGTTTTTTCTGATAAAATTTATTCAGAAAATTTTAAAACTCTATATATATGTATATATTTACCCAAGTTATACTTTTATGAGTTTATAAATGAAGAGACATATGTATGTTTACATGCACATGTGCTTATGTATTGAAGCTCTTTGGGCATTGTAACTAATCATAAGTCATGGACAGTACTCATCTCATACAGCATGTAAACTACTGGGACAAAATCCCTGAGGTCCTAAGAATTGGTGTGTAAGATTGCTGCAGAAACCAATGCTTTATGTGATCCTTGAATGCAAACAGAATAGCCACTAGTTCCAACTTCTTGGGGTTAAAGCATAAATTTTATGGTATGAAAGTTTCTAACTTATCCAAGATGATTATCTATTGGATTGATTGAAAATGGAGTCTGAATAGCATCCAGGGCATAGCTTCTAGTATGGAAAAGCTGATCAAATCATGTTGGTATTAACAATAAAATGAAACAGTTTCCTTTTTTATTGTTCTTGTTCACAGCTGACATTTTGAAAATGAATAGGTGATTGAGCATATGGAGGAGGATCAGGCCTGCTTGTTTGGTGATGTTGTGCTCGGTTTTTTTCGTCCAAGGATTCTTACTGTTTCGACTCCCAACTATGAATACAATGTAATACTCCAGAAATCCAATATAACAAGCCAAGAAGATGATCCAGAGGAGAAGATTCAGTCACAATCATGTAAATTTCGCAACCATGACCACAAGTTTGAGTGGACGAGGGAGCAATTCAACCATTGGGCATCTGAATTAGCAATCAGGCACAATTACTGCGTTGAGTTCAGTGGGGTTGGTGGTTCTGCTGACCAGGAACCGGGATTTGCTTCACAGATAGCTGTCTTTAGAAGGGTTTTCCTGCCCGAGGATGATGATCTTCGGGAGGAGCAAGTAGATTCGGCATGCCAATACAAAGCTATATGGGAGTGGAATAGATCTATAAGCTCCCTCTGACAAATTAAACAGAAACAGCCATAGAAAAAGATTTTGCTTTTAGTTTGATAGCCAGGCTAGCAGGTTGTAACACCAAATTTTGAACATGGTGGTGAAGTATCCATTAAATATATGCATCTTTTACATGAGCCTAAATCTGCAAATATCAGGAAACTCTTTAGTACATCTAACTGACGTTGAGGATATGTGGAACTTGAACGTGTCAAACATTTACTCTATTTTTTCTTCTTAAATTTTAATTACTTTCTGCTATTGCTGCTGGTGAGCAATGGGAAATACAGAAATTAGAGGAAGCTTTGGAGGCCATCCAAAAATGCCTCAAGCCTGAAGAGACTAAGGTCATTGCAAAATGAATGCAAGAAAATCATACTTCTCTTGTAACTGCATTTCAATGCTGGTCGGTAACGGAGCTTTCTTGGGAGGTGGAGGAAAGGAAGAAAGTTCATGCCTTACGGCTTGAGCATTGAACTCAGGATTACTAAAGATTAACTCTCTGGATAATATTAGATACCATACCATAAAACCAAGCTTAGAACGTTAATCATATGAAAATTTAGTAAAAAAAAATTAATATTTGATGAATTGACAATGTATAAATGTTTTATATATTATCAATCAATCAATCATAAAATGAGATCTCATTAATTAGTAAACAAAATATAATCAATTTTTAAAAATAAATATTAATAAATTGCATTATAATTTCACTCTTTTTTTTTTTAACAACCTGACTACTTATTTTACTCGAGATAGTATCAATGGTTGATTGAGAGTTTATAGCACTTGTGCATAATTAGTGCATCAAATATTAACTAAAAAAATGTTGTGTTTAACATGTTTCTAACAAGGTACTGTCCAGACTCTGCTCAAACAAATCCATTCGTCACCTTTCTAGTGCTCTAAAAAAAAGGCCGCTTTGGTGATAGTATTGTGAGATCAACAAGAAAAAAGGTGACAACATTGGCCATTGTAACTAGTCATGTTGTAAAACCAATAGAGGTTTTCCTTCACATCTTGGCTGAGTACACCCTGCCCTCAGAGCATTTATTGTTTATGTTATTGTTATTTGCACACCCTATGCACACACCTCACGCCGACCAAGGCATGGCAAGGGATACAAACATAACACATTTTTTACTTGGATATTGTCGTGAACCATTGCAACTTGATCACAAGTTTCTTCAGAATATCAAATTGAATACAATTTCTGTCATCCACCAAGAATTATTCAGGGAAAACACAATGCTTTACACTGCAAAGTTCAATCCTTTTCTGTTGGTACACTTTCACCTGTGAACCTAGTTAAGTTCACTCTCACCCGAGTAATAATGGTGGAAAACACATGAGAAGTCCTCAGTTTCATGACCATCCTTGCAGATCTCTGTATATCTGCAGAAACAGAAAAGGACCGGGCCATCAGCAAGTAACTATACAGCATAAGATTTTGAGTTGCAATTGCTTCCCCATAATTTGCTAACTTATTGCAATCTGATGCAGAAGTGTCGATGTAAATCCATGTTTGTACAGATGTTATGGTATACAGGTAGAAGTATTACTAAAATCGTTTGATACAGGCTAGCTTCCTTCCCAGTTAAAATATGCAGTGTCAACTGTGTCAGACACATCAAAGTGTTAGTTAATGGCCAGACACTGACTGCTAGAACTTAAGAGCTTGTAAAAGCCTAAGGCTTTGTTTGGTAGAGCATATAGAAAAATGAAAAGATAGAAATTGGAGGGGGAGAAAATGGAAAGAAAACATGTTATTTCTTTCCATAGATGTGCTTGGTATGAAAGATGGAAAAGTATAAGGAAAATTTAATTTCCTTCCATCTATAGAGTTGAAAAAGTAAAGGAAAGAAAATAAAAGTTGTCGATTTTACCATTATATCCTTTATAAATTAAGATGCAAAAGTTATAACTTAATTATGATGAACAATCTTGTAAATATACAACACTTGATTCACATTTCTCCCATTTTCTCTCCTTTCTTTCCAATTTTGAATTATTTCTTTCAGCAAATAAGTGTGGAAAATGATCATCTTTCGTATTCATGATAATAGTATGCAGTCCATGACTGCACTGACAATGGATTACATTGTTTTCTAAACCTGTTCCAATTTGTCATTTCATTTCATCCATCACCTTAAAGGAGGCATATTCTGCATTAATTGAATGCTGTTTATTAATGTTGCAATAATTTAAGTGGATTCCAAAAGATTAACATTTCATAGCTTGCCTAATTTCAGCTATGATACTTAAATAGAAAAAAAAGTCAGTTATGATACTTACATGTTCTGTGCTACGAATGTCAATGGACATTTTAGACCAACTTCTTCTGCTGATGCTGCGGCAAGGTTTAGGTCTTTAGCCTGCATCGTTAAAATGAAAATTTTTATCCATGCTCAAGATAAGTCCACTAAAAACCTAGTGCTGGGGAAATTAGAGTCCAATGTCAAACAAAATTCAGTTACACAACGGTGATCACATATACAAGTGACCCTACTTAAGTGAACATACTTTATTCTGTACATAGTCATTATATGCTGTTTCAGCTTATAGAAGTTACCGGGCTCCAGTGTATCAAGCAACCTGATGAAGTATGATAAAAATGTGCAGTGAGCTTTTGTGAAGACAGATACATACTTGGCAAAGAAAATTGCTTACCATGAGCTTGGATGCAAATCCACCACTATAATTCCTTGAAGATGGCACTCCTTGCATAACACCAGGAACTGGATTATAACTATCACTGTCACATTGAGCATGTTTTAGAATTAAGAAGCATATGATTGGCAGATTCACCCACATTAAACCAAGTCTCCATACTTGAGAAAAATAGCACAGCCTCACATGCTCTTGAGAAAATGTTTACATATTAAGCTTTCCCATACCCTGCCAGCACCCCATAATATCTGGCCTCACAGCTTTCAGCCATGCATTTAAAACGTAAGAATGACACAGTGTAATGCTAGAGAAGACTGATGCAACTTCCAAGCTTAAAAGCCTGAAATCTGATTTAAGTGTTGGTATTGTTGTGTGTTTCATGTTTTATGGTTTTAAAAATTTTGTTTTGTTTTATTTTCGTTTTACTTTCAATTTATTGAATTTGAAAACATCTTTGGATAGAAGGTTTTTGCTGTAGAAATGTGAAAACAAAAACATGAAAGATAGAGTGATTAAAGCTTTGAAATCTTAAAAGGAAGACGTTCGATTCTGGCCAGAAGCAAAATTGTTAAACTGTAGCAGTACCATAGCGGAATTGTAGCCAAGCGGGTGAACAGTGCCCGTGCAGTAACAGTACTGAAATTGTTTCCAAAATTTTGAAAACACCATTTTCCTGTTTGCAATAATTTTCAAAACTTTTCAAAAGTTTATTTTCTGTTTTGAAAAACAAAAAACAAAACAAACTATCAAACATGTTTTTGTTTCTAATTTTCAAAAAAACTAAAAAAAAAAACAGAAAACAAAAAATGAAAACATTACCAAACAACCCCTTAAACAACTGGTGCAGTTTTCATATGAAGTGTTGTCAACTAATGACAGAAGCACATGCTCCAAACTTGGGGTCATCACTTTCATTTTTCATCACATATGTTTGTCTTCTAACAAAACGTTTGAAGCCAGACTGAGAACTTTGATTAGTTTAAGAGGCTTGTATGTTTATTGTAGCGTCACTTGGAAGAAAAATAATTGAATTATTTTTGCAAGTGATACAGTAGAGAAGTGCTTGATACCTACTCCAACAGCGAGCACTTGAAGAGTTAAATATCTTTGTCAGAGTACTGGCAGTTATTCCTAGTGACTGACCAAGAGCAAGAGCTTCTGACACTCCAAGCATACTAACAGCCATTACCAAATTGTTGCATATCTTTGCCGCCTAAATAACGGAATCATGCCAAAGATATTAGAAGCTCACCAATAAACCCATAGAGTTGGAGAATAAGAATGAATCCTAAAATATGCCAAAGGAATTATTATTTCGCTGCCCACAGAAAGAATTCATACAGAACTTAGCTGTTTCATTGTCATATTATTATTCTTATACAAATTCTTCCAAGTCACTGCAATGAAAGAAAATATATAATAAACATTTAGTAATTACATATTACTATTTCCAATATTACAAATTTTATTATCTTAAGCATGAATGGATAAATAACTCTTACAACAGCAGGATGTCTAAATTGATTAGAGCTAATATTTGATCAAATTAGGGCTTTGACTTATTGTTTAGATCCATTATGAGTCCAATTATGCCCATCTCCTTTAAAATAAAAATGTATATGACTTAATATTACAAGAATAGTACTTTATCCAATCCAACTTCAAGTACTTCCAAGAAAGATGATAATAAAGACACTGGTGAAGCTGATTCTCGTATTATATTTTGATTGTCTTGCAGTAAATACTATGGGCTGCATGCTTCAAACCCACATCACTTCAATAGATTATGTCACATGTCAGCAGTTTCATCCGATGCTGCTTAGAAGGCAAGAAACTCTTACCATTTGTCAAATTTATTCAGAAGCCATGCAAACTATATATCAACTCTAGAATGCCTAAAATTTCTCGAGAATGTAGTCAATCTGAGTTTTCTTGTCATCTTCACTATTCATATAAAGTTCCATACTAAAGAGAGATGGTGGGGAGGGAAATCAAAAGGAAATATTTTCATGTACTTAAGAGAACTTACTGAACCATTTCCAGGTCCACCACAGAAAATTGTGTTCTTTCCCATTGAAAGGAGTAAGGATTTGGCAGCAAGATACGCGTCTTCAGAGCCACCAACCTGGATTACATGCCATCTTTTGGTCATAAGTTGAATGCTATCCAACAGAGCAACTTTAGTGCTGCCAACCTAATATCATTTTTGTTTCTAAGACACCAGACTTGTGTGGCAACTATTTTTACGTACATCATTGAACTAATAAAGTAACTATAATGTCCTACAGCCAAATTGATCCTAACAAGTATCCTCATGAACAGGGTTAAAAAATTTGGAAAAAGATTTTACTTGCCAAAAAAATTTTACAGCAGGGGAAGACTGCTATCATTTTTTTTTTTTTTGGGGGGGGGGAGGGGTGTGTTGAGGAGAGGGGAAGGAGGTGGAGAAATGAAGTTTAATGAGTATCCATATCCATTCAACGGAAAAGAATATATAAATTTTGGTCATTAAGGTGAACTCTAATCAATAAGGTGATCAAACGTGAATTCATACCATGAAAGTAAGTGAACCAGCTTCTGCACCTACAACACCTCCAGAGACAGGAGCATCCAACATGACAGGGTTCTCCCAATTATCTACACAAGTTTTATGTATTCAAACTCTGAAAATAATATGATTGTATGCATGTTTGTTTGTGTGTGTGTGTGTGCGTGCGTGTGTGTGGTGTGTGCACATGCATTTATATTTATTTATGAATGAAGGGTGCAGAGGATTGAAGACATATCATGCAAGTTCACCTCATATGTGGCTCTCTCATTCTCATGTTTGAATGGTGAAGTTGAGAAAATGGGGTGACCTCAAATTAACATCTCTCACACATGACTACAATCATCTTGTTTCAATTGTCTCTCAACCAAGTCAATAATCTGATCATTCTCTTCATAACAAGCAAAACAAACTAACAATTGTGTGTGTGTGTGTGTGTGTGTGTGTGAGAGAGAGAGAGAGAGAGAAATGAACCAGGAAAGTACTGAACAAGAAAAAAAAGATTTCCGATGCATTGATAGATAAAGAATACATAGCGAGGGACAGACTGAGCATTTTAATCTTGATGACACAGTTCTAGTAAAACCGCATATTTATATTTACTTTGACTCAATGAGTGGTACCTTTCTTTTCCTTTAAAGTGCAATTAGATACAGACATAGAGAGCTTTCTTGATGTTTGGGGATCAATAGTAGATGAATCTATTAATAACCGCGGCGTTAGGAGACTTCCTCCTTGAAGTAAGCCATTTGATCCATTATAAACATCCAACACCTATATAGATCAGATTGGTCGCTAAGGCAGGCATTTTTGCAGTTGATAATAAACCTCAAAAATCAAGGAGAAAAGAAGAATTAATAATTAAGTGCATCAGATAAATTTAAAGTAACAACACAGCTCTGGGACACCTAAGTACTTAGCTTAACATAATTTAATCAGAATATAATACATAACCCATAAGCATAAGGATCTCCAGTTGTAGTAACAACCAAAATAAGTATTCACTTCAATGGTTTGATCCTCTATAACAATGGGAAAACATGAACTGTATTTTATTACCACACTAGATAATATTTTATCCTGCATTCCTTTAGATATATCTGGTTATCTATTTATCATTACACAGTATTTCAAATTACCTTAACGATGACCAACACAAGAGGAGGACATCATCATAACTACAACATAATGAAGAAAATAGATGCAGAGAACCTACCTTTTTAAGGTTTTTGTTATCTAGAGTGTCGTTTCAACTTAGGTACTTTTCCTCTATAAACTTACAGCAAGAACCGGTGGCCATATAATTGTAAACAGAATAGGGAAAGCCAAGCTCTAGCTTATAAACAACTGCTAGGGATCTAGTGTAAGAATGATTTCATGATGACAAAAAGATAAGACTAGATGGAGAGTCCCAAAAAAACTAAAAGGTAAAAAATAAAACTAGAATCAGTAGTTACAAGAGTTTTGGACCACAGCAGAAAACCATTGCAAAAACAATCTATGAGTCATAATGCTCACATGAGATGATGAAGGCAACATTGTGATTACAACGTCACTTGCTTCTGCAACTTCAAAAGGTGTTTGCTTTGTTGAAACTCCCATTTCGGAGTACATCTTCATGACATTACAGTTTCTGAATTAAAAATAAAGCTGCAAATTTGATTTAGAGTAGAAATGTGTGTGCTGCACCTTTACATAAAGAAAAGCCTAAATAGCATAAAGAGTAGCAATATTGATAGATAAAGAAAAACATACAACTAGCTGGAAACAAAGGAAGCAAAGTAAATCATGGCACTTTAAAGGCGAGAAAAGGTTTGAACGTATTACACATCATGAACAGTCATTTTGTATCCAGCCTTGAGTAAATTATTTGCCATTCTGGATCCCATATTTCCCAGCCCTATAAATCCCACACTCTGTCAAAAGTAAATGAAATGATACATACAATCCAATTAGGAGAAGCATCACAAAAAATATGACGGTATGACAGGGTAGCATAACATTTTTAAGTAATTAGTACTAAAAGAAAGAAAGAAAAAGAAACTTTATTATTTGAAAAGCCATTTAACAATACAGTTTCCCAATTGAGAATGCTCATGCAAAGACTTGACTGTGCATTTTTCAAGAGCATAATTTAATTCATATATACCCAAGTATGATAGGTTTCTAATGTATTCACTGAGTAGATGACATGGAAATGAATCAACAAATTCTATCTCCAGTTAAACAGCTAGGACCAAAGCAATATATTTCATCAAACAGATAAACCCAATTCTATCTACTTCAAGGAAAACAAACAAACAAACAAACAAATAAATAAATAAAGATTGGTTGGGTTTAGAGTTTAAATCCAAAGACATGAAAGGCAATAGCCACATTAACTTTGTAAACGACGTTTACCCAACTCATGATATGCTTCCTTCCACAAACTCAAGGAGAAACCCAGACTTCATGCTTGATAATGGGAGCATCCAAAGCTTATGATAGCCCAAAATACAAAAGGCAAAAGCTTTGAGTTTTGAGAGAAACGCTAACCTCAAAGTGGGAAGAAGAGAAGCTGCGAGTGGGAATGGAATGGAAAGGGGAAGACGAGAGGATCAGTTGTTGAGAGAAGGAATTACAAAGCAGGGCTCTCACTCTGTGACTGTAATTCCTCATCATCATCATCGTTGCCATTGAATTGATAATATAAAAGTAATAATCTATGTTTCCAACAACAAGACTTGTAAGTTAAAGTAGCAGTAGAAATTCTACAGTTGAGCTTGCGTCACTTCACAACTAGGATCATCTCCTTTCCACACTCATTTTCCGCAAAAACGGAAGCGTTTTATTTTCATTTGATAAGTGGAAACTTACAATTAGGTGCGAAGAGATAAGTAATAATTAATAATCATTGCTTTTTAAAATATAATTTCAATTGAGTGTAATTTAAGTTTTAGGTTGCAAAAACTAAATTAATTTTTATAAATTCACGTAATCAATTATAATTTGTACATTTTATCGTACCAATATTATGAGTTGGATAATATTCAAATAAGCTTTTGAATTTTACTCGAAAATAGAAATAATTTTTTCTAAAAAAATAGAAATAATTTTATGATTTTTTTTACATGTAATTAAGATTACAATTTTTATTTGAATTAAAATTTTAGCAATATAAAATATTAAAATGATATAATAAAATTAAAATAATAATGAAATAATAAATAAATCATGAATATATTTACAATCTAACTATTGGATCAATCCTTAAATCTAGTCTAACTCAAGCTAATTTTTAAACAATAATTTTTTTTAAGTCAAAACTTAATCTTAGTAACATTTAATTAATAAAAATTAATTTTTTTTTATTTAATTTTCAAACTTTTAAAATCAATAAATCGAGCAAAATTAAGTCTTAAACAAAATTTTTAAAAAATTAATTAAATTTGATCTGATCCTTGTATAAAATAAAATCCTCCCCCCCCCCCCCCAAAAAAACAAAAATTATCCGTTTATAAACTGGTGTCATCAAATTTTATTTTTGAATCTTGAACAAAATTTTTAAAAATTTAATTGAATTTGATCCGATTTATAGATAAAGTGAAATTCCACCCCCCTCAACCCAAAAAAATTTTTATCGCAATCACAATATAAGTAATAGTCATTTAAGAAGTGATCCACTACTCATTAAACTGAAAAAAGTCAATGGGCTAAACTTTGATTAACATCTGAAATAAAAGATAACCGAGCCCAATAAGACTAAACCTCAAACCACCCGAGCTGAAAATGCATGCCTTAAGTCGGACAAAACAAGCATTGAAACTGGTTTGGAGACGGTGGATTTTGTCATTCAAAAACCAGCAAAACTAGCTGAAACTTTTCTAATTCATTCCATAATGTGCTTCATTTTTACAACAAAATTTGAATGGAAATCAGATGATGGATATGCCAAAAGAAAAAGAGTCAAAACGGAAGGCCAATGAGGGATTGAATTCCCTGAATATTTCAATCTAAAGATTGATTATATAGAAGAAAGATCTTCATATATAGTCTTGATACCTGGCCTCTCAGAAACAGATCCTACACACCTTAATGCTATTCCAAGGACCTCCCTCATTCCCTTTTCAGCAGCTGAATTCATCATCTCTCGTGCCAAGGCAGGATCAAAGCAATCTGCTACCCTCGACCGCACCCATTCCTTCAAATCAATACCTTCCTCTTCCCCAGGAATTACATCACCAGCACATCTGCCTGTTAGAAGTTCCAACAGAATCATTCCGAACGCATAAACATCTGACTTGAAGGAAAGCAGCGGTTTCTTGGTGTCAGCCAACTCTGGTGCGCGATAACCCAGGAGCCCCGCATCCAGAATTTGTTCCATAGTGCCAGCTTGTGTCATGAGGCGGTGTAGGCAGTAATCAGCAATACGTGCATTAAGGTCAGGTCCATCTAATAGTATGTTTGTTGCTTTTAGGTTACCATGTGGAACAGCACGGTCAAAATGGAGATAGTTTAGGCCACGTGCAACATCAACAGCTATTTTCAGCCTCTGTGCCCAGGATAAGGGTGGGCCTTTCCTTCCCGGTCGATCTGAAAATATAAGATGAGATCAATATTTGTAATGAGAATGAAAACCAGACATATATATAGAAGCTACACATATTCAAATTTTATCACCATCATGCTTAAGAACATGATAATACCTAAATGAAGTCTCTCATACCTAGATGTAATATGGGGAACATTCCAATATTTTTAAATATATTAATTCTGCAGCTTTTACATACTATTTTTTTTAATATATGTAAAAGATGTCATGACTAAAACCTAAATTACATAAAAACTAGGAAAAGAGTATCTAATAGGAAAGCATGAAAGATTATATTATATCATATCATAAATAAGTTTTTCCTTCATGCAAAAATCATCTATGAAAAAGGAAGAATAAATGGAGGTGAAGATAGTAAGAGAGTGGAAGAACTTGCCGATCCGTGCTGAAGCTCTTAAAGATATTGGAATAGAGTAAAAAGACTTTACTGCTTGATATACTAAACCCAAACAGTGAACCAGACCTGTCTTCTACCCAAGCATGGGACCTAGCCCCCTCTATTTTCTAGGACTAATGAAAGGTCTATATGTGGATCTAGAATTTATATTGAAACCTAGACAGAGGCACTACACTAAAGAAGAAAGGGACCACGCATATGTTTTTTGACAATAAGGGTGAAACAACAGTTAGATCAAATAATAAGATTTCCACCATCCCCACCTCCCCCCATTATGTTTTTTTGATAAGTACTGTTCTAATATGAGACCTACAAATAATGTGTTGAAAAACTACAGGGTAAACAGTTACCATAAAGAAAGCTTGCGAGACTTCCAGGTGAAATATAATCAGAAAGAATCAGCTTCTCATGCTGGGTGGGGCCCCAGTAGTACCCTCTCAAACCCACTACATTAGGATGCCTAACGTTTGCAAATTTTTTAGCCTCCTTGGCAAATTCTTTTCTCTGTTTTGCCACCCCTTCTCTGAGCCACTTAACAGTCAAGAAGGCTCCGTTATCCAAGGTTGCCCTGTAAGAAGTCCCATGGCTGCTCCTTCCCAAAACTTCTGCTGGAGCCCTTGACAGCTCCTCTGGTGTCAATGTGATTGTATCATCAAGAAAATACAGCTCACCAACCAATCGATCTGGTGATCTTACATCCAATCTTGCAAGGTGCTCAGCGGTAAATGACTCTCCAGACTCCGGTGACCAAGATAAATGGCTGGTCTTCGAAGGAGAGTAGCCAGTCCCCGCTGCCATTTTCTCACCGGGAGTGATAATTTCAGATGATGATCCTTTCCGTGAAGACACAAGATCCTCCGCCGAAACAACCAAAGCACCCCCACTCTCAGTCCCAACAATGCTAGAAGGGTTTGTTGGTGCTCGCTTGCGAACACCTTTACTTGTAACATGCTCTGGAGGACTTCTCCTTGATATACGGATGTAATTTAGGAATATAGCAAGCAGGATGAGTAAGATAAGAACAACCACACATGACACCACAATCACCCATTTGACAATTGTGTTGATCGGTTTCCTCCTGGAATGTTCAGCGGGGGCATTATTTGATCCGGGAGGACCACTTGGAAAATTCAACTTAGAATTTCCAGGGTAGAAGGAGGAAGAAGGGAACTTCCTTAGATTTTCTGGTACAACTCCAGAGAGATCATTGTAGGAAACATTAAAGCTGTGAAGACTGTTAGGTACCTTGTTTGGTAAAGATCCAGTAAAATGATTCTGGGATATATCTAATGAACTTAGAGAGTTCATGTCAGCCAATGAAGTTGGCAGGGAACCAGATAAGTTATTGCCTGCAAGATTGAGCACTTGAAGTCCAGCCAACGATCCAAATTGGTTGGGAAAATAGCCATTGAGCTGATTGTGAGAGAGATCAAGAACATGGAGGTTGGATTCACTAGAACGAGAGAACTCAATAGCACCAGAAATTAAATTGTTCCCAAGATGAAGTTCTTCCAAAGTAGCCGAGTTTAGTAGGTCATTTAAAAGAGGTCCATCTAATTGGTTGAAACTGAGATCAAGGACACTAAGCTTAGGGTACTGCATTATCACTTTTGGTAGAGAGCTGCTAAGAGAATTATGTGAGAGGTTGAGATGATTTAAACGCAAAAATTGGGGGGTTACCTCAGGAATCGATCCTATCAAAAGATTCTGGCTGAGATCAAGGTATTCAATATTACCCCATTTCACCATCCTGGTTAAATTTCCTTCTAATTTGTTATTTGATAGATCAAGTACAGCACAACTTCCAGTCAGTAAAGGAAGTTCCCCCGTGAGCCCATTTGAGGAAAGATTGAGCATCTGCAGATTGGTTGACATGATCATGGATACCGGCCCTGAAAGATGAACGAGGAAATATGAGGCATGGTAAAACGCAGAAAACTGGACAAAGAAACTAATTTTCAATCAGTAAGCAACAAAAAAAAAACACATATATTCAAGCTTTTTAGCATTCTCATTTTAGCTGAAGTAGCCATGTCATTTAAAGGCTACCTGAGAGATTGTTCCCACTTAAATCGAGCTCGTTTAAAAGCAGAGAATCTCCTTTCAGCAGGACATTAGGAATGAAGCCCGAAAATCTGTTGTTACTGAGCTTAAGAACCTGAAGATCATATGCAAAATTAAATCCAGGCAATTCTCCAGACAGCTGATTGTAGCTTAGATCCAATACCTTCAAATTTCCAAACAACTGAAGCTCATCTTCCCCAACCAATGATCCAGTAAGTTGGTTGTGGCTAAGATTTAAATACTTAATACTTTCAGAAATGCCGGGTAGCAATTTCTGTGAATTAGAGCTCTGCAGCATATTCCTACTAAAGTCAACATGGCTGGCATTTGATAGAAGGAAAAACTCCCCATATAAGCTTCCATCTAGCATATTCCCATGCAAGTCAAGCACCTGAAGACCTGAAATGAGCTCAAAACCTTTTGGAATTCTCTTGGTAAACTGATTGGAAGATAAATTTAGATACAACAGCTCATCCAATTTTGTTAACGAGGTTGGCAGTGAACTAAACAGGGAATTGTGACTCAAGTCCAAAGATCGGATTGAAATAAGCCCTGAAATTGTATCTGGAATTGAACCTGAGAAGTTATTGCTAGCCAGTGAAAGATTCCTTAAGCTCCCTAATTTACCAATGCCAGGTGGTAATGATGAAGAGAAAAGATTACTTGACAAATCCAGAAACTCAAGACTTTTGAGGTCACCTATATTGTCAGGAATGACACCTGCAATAGAGTTGTTTGACATGGAGAGTTTCACAAGCTTCGTAAGGTTCGAAAAAACACTCAAGTCTGCATCAGCAGAGAGACTTAGGTTATCAAGGAAAACACCAGCAACATTTCCACCATTACAGACAATCCCATTCCAAGAAGAAGGGCAGCCATTGAAATCAATGGACTCCTCGTTCCATGAATCAATGACATAACCTGTAGGGTCATGCTTAATACCCTTCTTGAATTCAAGCAAAGCCAGAATGTCCTGTGAAGGAAGCTGCCCCATGGCAGGAAGGAAAAATAGGAACAACACTAAAAATTTAAAGAGCTTCATATTAATCCTATCAAACCCAAGTTAGCCACAATTTCAAAGACGATAAATAAACGGAGAGTTTCCACTTCTCAATGCTGAGATTGGAATACAACAAAATGAAGTTCAGAAAAGTTATGGTTAAAACGCAAAAATAGAACCCAAAAACTCCTTCAATCTCTGCAGTAATAATCCCTTGTACATAAAGCATCAAAGTAATTGCAACGTTCTAGAGGAAGTCCTCAAGCTCTTAAATCCACAGACTCAACGAGGTTAGAACCATTTTACTAGCGCAATAGTAACTCTAAAAGCCCTTTCCTCAGGACAAGCAGCATTCACCTTTGGAGGAGATGGAAAGAACAACATTCACAAGTTCAACGCAAAACTGAAAATGTGATCAACAACACAGTAATATACCTGATAAAAGAGCACTTCATAACAAAGCCAAGCCTTAAAAGAGCTGATTCTGGTTCGAACAGGAATGAGTGATGAAGATACTGCTTTCAACAAGTAACAATCTTTAACTACACAAACTAAGCTAAAGCATTAAACGAATGAAATCAACTGCAACAACACTGGGCCCCATTCAGAGATCTTACCACAAAGACATAACAATGCAGCCTTTTTCTTACCAAGATCCCTTCTTCTATTCTACCAACAATGTAGGCTCAAAAGAAACTTCTTGTGTGAAAAGCTACGACTTTAAAGCAAACAAAACCATTTCCTTGCCAAAATGTAAGAGTTTCACACTGGCAAGAGCTCACTCAAACAAGAAGTAGCAAACAAAAGAGAGCCACCCAGATATATTTTATTAGCCATGAAATTGTAAACCCTTTTAAAAACAGTAGATTTTAGCAGCTTAAAAGGGCCAAAACCCTAACTTCTTTTATGACAATGACATCAAAGCTCCACCCAGAAAAGGGATTGCCTTTGTCTCTTTTACTGTTCTTTCTCTTTCTAAGAAGGCATGTGGTTTTAGAGGACCCAAAAAACAAAGCCCTAAATTTGTTTGCATTGGTTGATTAAAAGAAATCCTTTAAATTTAAAAAAATCAGCCATTAAGTCTTTCGTTTTTTTGAGGTTTTTTAGAGGCTTAGAACTCAGAGTCAGTAGGGTTACGTTTAGAGCGGGGAGAATGTGTCAGCAAAAGGGACGAAAAAGGAAGAGAAAAAATGTTTAGGGATTTTTAGGGAGAAATTGAAAAAAAAGGGGATTTACCCGCCAAGGAAAAAGGAGGGAATGGAATCTAATTTTATTATTGTTTTTATTAAATCTTTATAACATGGTGGACGTGAAAGGATTTTATCAAATCCAGTTTAAGGTTGTCTCTGGAGGTCAGATCAGTGTATGGGACCCACCAATGCCCATTTGACCAGGGTTTTTGACTTGTTTTGATTTCTCTCGCTTTCTTTGCCTTTGCCCATTCCCCAACTCTTCCAAAATTCCTATAACACACACGAAGAGAAGGTGGCGAGTGGTGAGTTGGGTGGAGACATTATTGCATGGGCTGTGATTTGCTGTAGAGGGTGGACCCCTGGGCTCCACCTTTCTTCACATATTCGACCGTAGGTGATGACACGTTGAACAGTGGTCCCCAGTTGTGGAATGTGGAATTGATGATGACGATGATGGTTATTAAGAGAGTAGGAGAGGACCACGAAATGACGACATGAGACGCTACTTTCTCTTTCAACTGCCAAGAATGAAAATCATAAAAAGCCAACTAAGCTTATCTGCTCCTGCTGTCATCTAATTTGTAGGGACGAGGATAATAATAATAATAATAATAATAATTTTATAATTGATTCGTGAGAATTAGGGCTGTAAACGAGTCGAGCCGAGTCGAGTAGTGAGAGGTTCGAGCTCGAGCTCGACTCACAACTCGGGGCTCGATACTCGGCTCGAGCTCGATCGAGTTTTATTTTTCAAGCTCGAGCTCGATTCGTGATCGAATTCGAGCTACTCGAGCTCGCTCGATTAAGCTCGATTAATATGTAAAAATAAGCTCGATTCGTATACTCGACAAAAATTCGATTATTCATGCTCGAACTCGAACTCGGACTCAAAATATTTTATTAATTAAAATAATAAAAATATATTTAAATATAAAAGCTCGATTAGACTCGCGAGCTACTCGAGTCAGATATAATAATACTCGAATTCGGCTCGATCGATAAATCGAGCTACTCGAGCTCGAGCTCGACTCGACAATAATCGAACCGAATTCGAGTTTTTTTCGAATCGAACCCGAGTAACTTGCGAGTACTAATGTATCATTTACACCCCTAGTGAGAATCATATTTTTTATATATAATATATTACAAGAAACAAAATTATTAGATAAAACGGGCTTGGGTTGTCCTCTCGGAATGTTATTGTTAATCTTTTTAATGAGGGTCTAAGTTTAGAATAGGAATTCCTCTCCTCAAGCTTTCTAACAAGTAGCAAAATCTATAGAAATACATAATTTCTTCTTTATATTTTATCTATTCATGTTCATTGTTTTGACATACTTTTTATATCTTATATATAACCTCTATAACTTGATAATTTAAAACATAATATAATATTATGATATAAAAATAATACAAAAATTTTATCAACTATATATAAATTTAATAAAATATAAAATATATATTTTATGTTTTCGTATAAAACACGACAAAAACACACATTATCAATATTTTACACAACATGAAATATATAAATTGCCCCAAAATAAATTCTACATAGTAGCATTTTAGCTGATAAAAGCTGCCGAGAAAATGCAATTTCAGTTATATATGCAATTTCGGATTGCTGCAACAAATAAATGTCAAGGCTACACAAGACTAGCTTTCCGGAGCTTTTAGATTATATAGTAAGTGATGTATGCAAAACAGCATTAGGATACAGAAGTTTCTACAAACAGCTGGTGCTGAACGAGCTATCGTCCAAATATTCTCCCTATAAAGCTCGTAGATCAAAACAATAGATGATTGATGCATAACCAATATCAAACTCGCCTTTTAACTCCACTCTCTTGGGGTTGAAAGTAATTGTCATATGCATCACTTCACTTCTTCCCACCTCCAGAAACATTGAACTTGAAAAATATTACGTCTCCATCTTGAACCACATAAGTTTTCCCCTCCTGCCGATATTTTCCAGCAGCCTGACCAAAAGGACAAAAACAAGTCATGCACCGAGAACCATGCAACATTTGACAAGTTAATCACAAAAGGAAACTTGTATACATGAACTGCAGAGCAGCCATAGCTCGGGATGCAATGACATAGTCCACCATGACTGTGGCTTAAGCAAATTGCAACAACTCATACCTCAATCTTGCCATGTGAGCTTAAATCCTAAGATTAGCAGTTGATCTTTGATCACATGTTTTGGCAAGTTATCTTTTCTCGCAAGATACACTATTTTTTTTTTCCTTGAATAATTAGTTATTACTCTAATTCTGAACCTTCAACTGACATTTCGGGAGTACACAATGAAAAGATAAAAGAAAATCATTCGTAAATATAACAACCTTAACGGCAGACTCACTGCCAAGCTCCTTCAGATCTTCAAATTTCATGACCTGGACATCGAGAAATCAAAGTCACCAACAGAAATTTGACATGTATAAGTTATTATAAAAGCTAGTAAAAAATTCAAATACATAGGTAGCGGTGGCAATCAGGTGGGTTTGGATTGGGTTATTTCTGGGAAAGGGGAAAAATCCACTCCAGTTTACAGATTTGAAAAGTATAATCATTGTAATAGTTCATCACAGACGATAATGCCGGAGCAAAATTTAAAATTTCCTTTCAAGGAATTAATATAATGTGAGAGAGTCAAGATCTAAGAACAACCTCAGCACAAATAAATCCTCTCTCAAAATCAGAATGAATGGTTCCTGCAGCTTGAGGAGCCTTTGATTGCCGTCTAATTTGCCAGCATTTCACCTGGAAAAGACAAAAAGCAAACCATTGTATTGTACAGCCATCATTTGGTTAAACCAAAAACAAATAACCTAAACTGCAAGAAAATCTCCAAGAAGAGATCCAGTTTAGAGGAGAGCTTCAAAACTAGCAACTGCATGGACCTTAAGGGAATTCAATACCTAAGGAGGACAGTCACTAAGATTACAACACTGAAATATCAGTCTGTGTGTGATGTACCCAATTATCATTGTGAGCTGCTATGAATTCTAAAGACACGATCTTGATGTTGAGATAGCATGCTTATCAAAAAAATGTCACCGCTGAAATGACAACATAGCATAAGAGCAAGGTCTACAAAATCAATATCATGATCTTAGATCATATTTAAAAGCATTCAATACTCTTAAGATCCTTCAGACAACTGGTTAATATTTAAATAATAGAACCAAGCATTCCAATTTAATAAATAAATAAGAACCAAAGTATTAGATACCTCATCAGGGCCTGCTGTGAAGAAATATATGAGATTAATCGCGGAGAAACCAGTCTTGATGATCTTTGGAAGAGCACTGTAACCAAAAAAAAAAATATATATGCTCAGCATCATGCATACCCATTAAGAAAAAGGAAAACAAGTCAGGTCAAACATTAGGGCACCAAAGACTATCTGACCATGAGACTTGGACCTCTCAGACTCAAAGCATTTTAAACCATCATAATAACAGAAATATCCAGTTTCAACTAACCTTTGTACCTTGTTTTCCTCACAATACTGTGCTGCTTCTTTAGGTTCCATATCAGCAAGGTTTCTCTCAAACACACCGCTGAAAGGAATGATAGGTTCAGCTCCATGTTCTTGCACCCTATAAAGGATAAAACAGTTCCCATTCAAGTTGAGAAACCGCAAACCTTAACAAATTTTTAGAAGTATGATAAATCTAACAAGCAAAAAGATATTTTCCAGCAACAAAAAAAAGAGCTGCTTAAACGAAATTTATCCGTTTTAGGTAAAATATATTTTTCCAACACTAATAAATCTAAGACGATTGTCCAAAAAAAATCTAAGACTGTTGTATTATTCGGTTTTATATTACTTTTGGTATATTGGGTATTTGAGTTTAAGTTAGGGTTTTATGGCTTGAACCTATAAATACTTTGGTTTTTATTTTTAAGTAGGTTTTAAATTGCCAATTGCTGAGATTTTGGAATATTAATTTTGAGATTTATCCCTCCAGTTCTCTTGGGTATTTAAATTGCAAATTGCTGAGACTTTGGAATATTAATTTTGAGATTTATCCCTCCAGTTCTCTTGGGTTGTCTCTCCTTATCTTCTACTCCTCTATCAATTTCCTTAGTTTCTTCCCAATTCCCTCTAATTTTCCATGTGATCTCTAGGTTCTTTCTTTTTCCCCTTCCTGTCCTACGTGAATAACAGCAAATATGCAACCTAAACCTTGGAATATAAACTCACGGGGATAAGCTTTCAAGACAAATAGAAGTGCCAACAAGCTAGCTCAAACACAAATAAAATAACAGACATAAGTGTGTTCTCCGTCTCACTGTTTTTCCTGGCATTATACAGAACAAGCACATGTGAACCCAAACCTCCTAAACACGCAGAGAAAGGGCAAGAGAGCATACCAAGCATGAATCTTTGGCAAGAACTTGTTCTTTTTTCTTTGGTAATCTTTCTCAGTCATGTTAACCTGCACATTGAATACAATAATATTATAATAAAATCTCTAGCCACATTCTTGAAACTGTGAAAGATAAAAAGACACTACTTTCTCTAAAAAAATTTACATAATCAGACAGAACACATCTGAAACGCTCCCATATTAGAACAAGCAGCAACATCATCCAAATTGATTAATGGACAATTTTTTGTTGGTTTTTATGTTCAAGAACTAAAAACAAGAAGAAATTGGAAAAAAAAAAAAAAGTCAGCTAGAAATAACAATGATCTGTCAAGCCAAAACAACTTCAGATCACTTAGTTTCTTTTTGCAAAAACAAAAACCATTTTTTTGTCATTTGAAAATCTAAAGTACATATGCAAGACATTTAGTTTCTTTTTCCAAAAACAAAAAACATTTTATGTCATTCGAAAATCTAAAGTAAGTATGCAAGACGTCGTCTATTACCTCATAATAACACCTGCTTGGATACAAATTTGGTCAAATGGATTTATTCGCAGTTTGATTCATTCTCATTACAAGACAAAAAATTTCACAACATAAGAAAGACCTTGCTAAGAATAAAGTATCCATCCCCGCATGTCTCAATTGCATCTCAGCATTCAGAAACATGTCTATGATCATAAGTAATATTCAGATCATCACTTCCAGAAATATGATTACGCAAATATGCCTATGTTTTTTCAACAAGGAAATAATGATCTGAAAAGCATATTAAACATGATAGAATAGTAAGGTTATAGTTTGCATGGTTTTTTCCTATGTTGGTCATACTTGAGAGTTTTCGATGTACAAAGGTATGCATCTGACATGGGTGCATCTTTTTCTATTTTTCTATGTTGTTCCTTCTATTTGGAGGCTCAGGACCACATAACAATCTCCATGTTTAGGTGTCAGATATGTGCCCAAGATGGGTTCATGAGGAAAAACAAGGAGTTGGGACAACATTAGTTTATTTCATCAATTGTAGATAACATATTGGTGGTGATCAGCCAAGTCAAACAATTTTATAAAATTGGTACTAATAAGTGAAAATAGATTAGGTATCCACACAACTGCAATCCTATTTAAGACTAGAATAAATGGCCATATCATTTTACCTCGACCTCAAAATCATTTAGGTAGTTATAGGAAAATCTTATAGCAGGATGTTATATATAGATCAGATATGCAGCATGCAACATCTGATGATGAAACATAAAAGATAGATTTAGCACATACAAGCACATCTTACTTAACAGACAACAAGAAAGTATTACATAACATAATAATAAAAAAAGTAAAATAAAAGGATACGAAAGTAAAATAGAAGGGAAGCTCACCAAATAAACAACCGGCTTGGCACTAAGCAATTGAAAAGTGTTCAATATCTCAATATCAGCTGCTTTCCAGTCCCCTAGACGAACATCTTTTCCATCCTCAACCCATGCCTTGACCTGTAATATAACAACCCTTATCACTTTTGGGTATTACTATAACCCAACATAAACAAATTTAGCTATATAGCATAAGCTCACAAAAAAAGAACATGATAATCTGGTTAGATGCATTGACTGCTATAAGAGAGAGTATTTGGTAGATCATTAGAATAAAAAGACACATTTGAAACTACCTCCATTCTTAAACTGAAAGCTAAAAGGTTCATTTTCATCAATTCAAACCACATGCTTCTAAGCCTATAACCTCTGTTATCAATAAATACTATGAAGTACATTTGCGAAAGATATTGAATCATTTAAAGACTACAATATGTCACATGCAATAACAAAATGGGAAAGAAAAAAAACTAATACACTATCAGAGAGAAAAGTTGGGCAAAAAAAGTTGCAATTGTACATGTAAGTAGTAAAACTGTTGCATATAATAGAGAAGATAGAAGTAATTTATACAGCATATTTTAATCATGCTTTTGAAACCTAGCCTATTGACATAATTTAATTCAATGTACCAAAGTAATAACGTTCCTATTTAAGACTCATGTTAATTTCTTTTTATCTATTTATTCTTTTTAAAGAAGAAAGAAGAAAGAACCAACCAAAATCTGATCCAAAAGTAAACCTAGCCCACTCAATCTAAGAGTGGTCTGAATGGAAGTTAAAAATAATAAGAAAAACATATAACTTCTTGGGTTCACTTAAAACTCAAAACAATCTAATATGAAAAGACCCCAATTTTATAAGACACAATGAGCTCAAATGAAGGCTCCAATACTCAAAAACCTAGAATCATTTAAATAAATAAAACAATAAAAACTCAAACTCAAACAACTTAACATTCAAATATATAATACAAACTACTCAAAATGGCTTTAATTCAAAATAAACCCACAAAACCTACCAAATTCCCATCTATATATACAGGGGATTATCGCTTAACAAGAAAAAATGAATAGTAACATTAAAGAAACAAGGCCGTTTAAAAAATGGCCAACGCATTTAAAGTATCTTCAATTTAGTACATCTATGATCTGTTGTTTTATGATTGTTGTTTATGTTTTTAGCAGGCATGTTGGATTTTTCAGAGTTGTTAGGTGGTAGTTTTAAATTTTCAACCATATCCCCTATAGCTTTGAAACCTAACTAGCTATTCTAAGAGTTGATAGATCTAAGCTCGTCTTTGCTCAACAATTTTTCTCTTTCTACAGATTTATTTTAGAGTTTTTCCTAAAGATTATTTGGTTTCTACTGTGTGTTAGTTTGATTATTTATGTTTCTTTGAAAATTGTTGGTCCTAGAGGTCTTTTTTTTTTCCTTTTAAGACTTGATTATTTATGTTTTTTCAACACTTGTGTTAGCCCTTCTATGATTCTGTTTTTGTCTTTGGTTTTTTTAGTCTTGGTATGTCTTCATCTTTTTCTAGCCCTGCTATTTCTTGCAAGTCTTCCACTATTCTACTCTTGTATCTCTTCATCTCTATATTTCCTTCTTTGTCAGGTTCAGTCAATTCAAAAAAAGGCCAAATTGGTTCGCTTGTAATATGTTGAACATGATTATTATTGCTATTTTTTTTATCCAGAATACAAATTACTATTAAAAACAAAATTTAGATAAATCAAGACTTTCTTTATGTTTGGTGACAGCTACTCTTTACCAATGTTTGAACTTTTGACCACCACCAAGGTCATGATCTTTGGTATTTGAACTTCTGACCACAAATTTTTAAGTTGCGATCTTAGGTGTTAAAACTTTGGCCACAACTTTTAGGTATTGTGCCTAAGACCATTTGCCTAAGACCATTAGGCCTAAGATGAGGGGCTGGCCACAACTTTTGAGTCATGGTCATTGGTGATCTTAAGTTTAGCATCAAAAGTTGTTGCTAAAAGTAGGAACTCTTACATCAAAGCACCAGTATAAATACAGGACATAAGCGGATCTCCTACATTTTGTACCTAAGAAAACTAACTAAATTTAGTAAACAATATAAAAGCAAAAAAATAAATCAATGTCACAGTCCACAAACTATGGGCTGCGACCTAAGAGAATCATAAGACAAGTCTCCTCCATTTACGACACATTAGCAGCATCAACGGTAAGAACCAATAAAAAAGAATAAGACCCACAAAGAATAAGTGAGACATGACGAGACATGTAGCAAACAGAAAAGATCACATGTTCAAAACCCTACCTTTTGACACAATTCAAGCTCTATTTTTAATTGCTTGTCATTACTCCTCTTCATGCTCTTTTCAAGATCCTCTATCTTCTTTTCCATAAATTCAACATCCTAAAGAAAATAAAGTTTAGAATAAGTAATCAGAACATAAAAATCCTGCTAGGTTCTTCAATTTTGAAATAGAAGTACAGTAATATCAAAAAACTATCAAAGAGATAAAGGAATTCATGATGAAGCAATGACAGGATTACATTCCCAACAAGCTGGATATAATAATACCAAGTGAAATCTTTTAGATGATGCCATAATTTGAATTTCAAAAAATTAATAGCTTTCTCCAAAATAAGGAGTAAGGAGAAGAAATGTCCTTAAATTCAAGAAGACAAGAAAATCCAATCAAAGCCATGCACAGACATGCATATAAATGCCTTCATTTAATTAGCAGCAATATCTCAGTAAATCCCGAATATGAAAAGCCCCAAAAGCATAATGGTTTTCCACTCTTTTTACTGCTTGGAAGTTTAACACAGAACCTACTGAGTACTAGCTTAAACCTTAGTCCCCAATGGCCTGTAACCATTTGCCTGCACATAACCTCTATAATTAGCCCTTCTTTGATATTAGAGTAAACTACACCATTAGTGTCACAGTTTCTATTTTAGTCACTAAGTTGATGATTTGTGTAAGTTCATGGTTACCTTATCAACTCCTAGGGAATGCCTAATACTAGCCAACTCATAAATAGTCTTTCCATGTGGACTGATAACATGCAAAATAAGCAAATAAGGTGAAATAGGGGGGAAAAAAAAAGTTGACTTGAAAATGAAATCCTTGCCACTAACTTCTACCACTAATCTCCCCTAACCATAAATGCCCAAGCATGATCCAAGTACAAGGGCCCATGTTGACTCTTGTCTTATTCCTTTGACCCCTATTGACTCTTAGTAAACTCTTCTCCCCTTTTCATTTTTAATTTTTCTATCTGTTTCTTAAATGTTAATGATATTTATTTGATCTTTGTTTTTTTAGTTCCTAGTAGTCTCAAGTACCAACAAAAAAAATCATATTTTCTATTATGTGTTTCTTTGAATGTCACCAGTCCACATGAGAAAATTTTCTATAAGTAGGCTGCCTATTATGAATTCTGTTAGGGATTAATGGATGATTACAACAAATTGAAATAAACAGGCAATAATTAAGTAAAATAGAAATTTTAAAACTATGGCAACTGAAATATAAATTTTAACAAACTTTAACTTACTAATGGTGTAGTTTACCCTAGATGGTAAATAATTTAAACTACTCTTATTAAGTAATATATTAGACAAGTAGATCTACTTTATTAAACCTCCAAGACTGTAGAATTGACTTGAATTACGAAGTCCAACTACTCTACTGTAAGTACAACCATCTTTTTCTTTCAAAGACAAGAAATCAATAAAGTTTACAGGGGCCTAACCAAGGTCCAGGACATAACAGCCAGAACCTCCTCCCCCCCCCCCAAAAAAAAATTTCTAAAATCTACTTAAACTGATAATACAAAATATTGATCCCTGACATTATCACAGCATTTTACAAATATGTAAAATACGCAATAAAATGAAAAAAGTTGCATATATTAATTACAGGTGAGGCCAACGCAAAGCCTAGAATCAAGATGTGGCTCTGCAAGTAGGCATAAAATTAACTCAACCCAAAGCCAAGCATATGCACGAGTATTAAAGCAATCTTCCAATTACCATGTATAAGGAGCATATAAATCCAATAATATCCAATGAAAAACAAGCTAGTGTAGTATTTGAGTTGCATTATAAAAATCAGAGCTCCAAATACCTAATTCAAGTAGAATAGAATTCCAGAATTCACAAACCTTTAACCGTAACTCAGCACTAATAGTCTCTAAATCCCTTACAGGATCCACGGAGTCATCAACATGGATGATGTCAGAATCTTCAAATGCACCTGTAGGATTGAGTGAGGATAAAATTAAGAATTCCAAAGAAATAATTTTACATCAAAAGCAAAAAATAACAACTATCAAATAAAAATGGTTTACATAAACCTCAAGCTTATTAAAAAACAGTACCAACATAAATTTTTTTATAACTCTTAACAAGCCTTTGCCATAAGGTGCACATGGAAAGCCAATTAACCTAACTCACAACATACTGATTGATCTAGAAATCCTTCAATAGAAGCTAAAACACCATGATTGACCAGAGTGTTAGTTACACGATACAAAATGTTGTAAAATTTTTACAATCTCAAACTTAATTCATCAAAATAGTCCTAGAAAGTAGACTGGATTAGAACAGCAAAGTACTCGTAATACAACAATTGAAAAGCAAAATTAATATTCAGCAAGGTTTGAATAGAACTAAACATTTATGTCGCATCATATTAAGAAAACACTAAAGTTTGTTATCACAAGAGTATTATAAAAACAGAAAATAGAGATGTTTCTGGCTTGAAAGCCTAGGCATCTTACGTAAAACATGAAAAATGCCATCAACTGCACGGATGTGAGACAAAAAGCTGTTGCCCAATCCTTGCCCTTGATGAGCACCTCTAACCAGTCCAGCTATATCATGTATTTCTAAGAAGGCTGAAACCTGCTGCACCGGAACAGCTCAACATTTTATATGGAAACTCATTAAGCAAACGATAATGAGATACAGTATAAAAAGTAGTGCTTCTGCAATAAACAAGTGATGACTATTATAATAGATAAAAAGATATCTGGATTATCCAACCATAACAAAAAGCTGCAAGCAACATCTTCTACAATTAAGGGTAAATCAAACCACCAAGCAAAAGCATGGATCTATTTGTCAGAAACATTTGGCAAGCAATATTACCTAGACCTGGCGATTCGTGTCATATAAAATATTGAAATTTGTATATTCGTATTTTACACAAAAATTATGTGTCACCATTCCTACCCACACGAAATCAAAAATACATTTTTTTTCTATTTTGTTAAACCCATATATAGTTACTACTAAAATTTTAAACGGTATCACTATCATGTCCTTTTTGCATATGATGTTCGTGTTATATCACGATATCGTATTTTAGATTGCCAAGTCTAATATTAACATTAAGATAATCTGGAAATGGCCCGCAATAGTAGCCGTCTAGAAGTGAAAATAATGCTAATTTTTAAGCAAAGAGAGAACAGTTATACCTCATTTTTGGGCTTGTACAATTGGCAAAGCCATTCGAAGCGGTCGTCAGGGACATTAACTCGGGCTTCGTTAGGCTCGATTGTACAAAAGGGGAAGTTCTCAGCAGGAATAGAAAGCTTTGTGAGGGTGTTAAAAAGAGTAGACTTGCCCACATTTGGCAATCCCACCTGCAAAAGAAGAAATGACTCAGCTTGCAATCAGAAATGAAATGGCAAAGGGAGAAGAAGAAGAAAGCTACGATTCCGATCTTGAGGTGAGAAGAGAATCGGCCAAGAATGGGCCTCTCGGCTGGTGCTTCCTTGGATTTAGCGGCTTTCGGAGGCATTGCCTTGATTGCAGTTGTAGCTTCTAGGGTTCTGCGCACAACTGTGACAAGTGAGAAGAAGCGGAGCGCTGAGGGTCCAAATTTGGAAACGCATTTTTATACCCAACGCCAACGTTTACAACCCTAGCGGTCGAGGCCGTCACCTTTTTTTTCCTCAATGAACTTTTCTTGATCAATCGTTGATCGTTTTTTTTTTTTTTTCATTTTTGAAAATTTTGTTTTTTTATTCGAACAATACTGAAATATTTATTAATATATTAAAAATCAGTTATTGTTCAAATATTAAATTATTAATATTAAAAATAGTTAGATTTTAATAAAAACATTTAATATTAAAATATTATATTAAGATTAAAACTATTTATAATTTATATTAATATTTTAAATTTTAAAATAATATTACTATTCCTAAAATATTATTTTATTGATATAATAATATTTATCATTAAAATATTAAAATATTTATTCTATTAAAATAATTATATTTTATATTGGAAATATTCATTATTAAATCATAATAAAAATATTATTTATATATTTATTATTATATACATTTAACAATAAAATATAAAAATAATATATTTTAAATTAAAAATATTAAAATGATTAAAATATTCATGGAATAATATAATAAATAATTTTATACTATATTTATTTTTTCTTAAATAAATTTTTATATTTTTATTGTATCTAAATAAATACCTATTATTTTATTTGTATCCAAATAAGTTTTTACTTCAAATAAAATATTGATTTATGTTAAAATTTTATTTAAATACAATTTAAAATTTAAAATTTTATTTAAATAAAAATTAAAAATTAAGAACTTTTTCTGATGCAAATTAAAAGTCTGTGGCTTATTTGATGTAGTAAAAGTATAGGAAGTTATTTAAGAAATGTGATAAAGTTAAAGGATGTTTTTATTATTTTAACCATATTAATATTTATTATATATTTTAAAACAGTAATATATTAATATTTATTATTAAAACATTAAAAATATTTATGTTTAATAATATACAAAATTAAAATATTAGAAGACTAGTAATATTAATATTTTTAATTTATTTATTAAAACTAACTAAAAATATTTTTATTAATATAATAGTATTTCGAGTGTACCAAATTAAGATTGCGTTTAAACAATTATGCCCAAATGTCAACTTCAATAAAACTATAAAAATATTCAAAATTAAAATATAAATATAATAATATTTTTAAATCGGGTTAAATTAAGCTTGAGCCAAAAACTCATGTTCAATGTGAAGCTTGAGTAAATCAATACTCACAAGCTTAATAAGTAATTTTAGATATATATTTTTTGAATTTTTTTTATTTTCAAAAGAGAAAGATAAATTTAAAAAAAAAATGACTTCATATTTCTATTGACCAAAAATCATTATTCATTAACTAAGCAATTTTTTACCAAGCAAATTATTAAAAAATGTAAAAATTATTTTTTGAAAATCATTTTTTGTAAAATAAATGAAGCCTAAATTTAGATATGCATAATACGTAATGAAATATTTTTTTTTTAGTTTTTAAACATCCTAAACACAATTAAAAGTTATTACATGTTATATGATCACGAAGTTTCACATAAATAGGCTATTAATATTTTAATAAATTGCTATATTTATTTATTAAAAATAAATTTATCATAATAATTAGGTACTAAAAAAGATACTATGTGAATATAAATTAAAAATAAATTACTATATTAATTTAAGAAATCATTAATATAGTGATGTATGAATTAGATTAGAACTTAATTATTTAAAATCAACAACGAATAGGTTTATGTAGTCAACCATATAATTGTTGATCAAATATATAACTAATAAAAAATTAAAAATGATATTTATTTATTTATTTCTCAAACTTTTTTATAAAAATGTAATGTCGTTAAAAAAAAAGTGAATGCAAAAAATGGTTATTAGAAAAAACATTTATTTTATTGAAAAAAATTATCAAGGAGATTATATTATATGTTAACTCAAAAACTTGAAGTAAATCAAAAATGGTGAATTGGTTCATTATAAATGTTTTAAATTTAATATTCAATGAATACAAAATTCACAAATTAATATTTTCAAGAAAATAAGCACAATAAATATGAGCACAATAATAATCTTGAAAGCAAAAAGATAGAAATGAAGAATCAAACACAAAAATTTGTAGATGTTTGGTCTTTTTTTTAGACACCTATGCTATCTCCTTTAACTTCACATGCCAAAAGTCCAATCCACTGTGTTAAATATTACAACCCAACTCTTTAAAACTCTATACAATCAACAACACAATATCTTAAGGGTTATACCCCTTTAAGCTCACAACATTATAATATAAGTCTTAAAGTATTTTTCAAACTCAAAAAACTTCTCTAAGGTTGAGTGTTTGCTAATTTGAAGTACAAATGAAGATTATGAAAGAATATCAAGAAAAAAATAAATACAAGATGAATTTTCTATATTTTTCACACAATAAAATGCTCTTTAATGATTAGAGAAGATAGTATATGGAAGCAATAAGTTTTTCTTGACTTTTTAAAAGCTTGAAATGCCGTGAGATACCTATTTTTATATGTAAAGAATGTAAGATAGCCATTGATTGCATTAAATATTTGAAATTTCTGTAAAATTTCAAACAAAAATAGCCATTGCTTGTTTTTTGGGTACAAAGATCAATTGGTCAGTTGAAAACAAAGACATTTTATGCATAAAAGCCACACCTGATCAATCAGATAAAGGACCTGATTGATCCATAAACCTAGGTGATCGATCCTATGCGTAGGGCGATCGATCCCTTTTGTGAAAAATGAAACAAGTTTTAATATTGCATAAAAAATGAATATCGAGTCATATTGAAAACCTAGCCAATTTATCCCTATAATGAAAGAATCGATTGATTCTTTAAATTTTTGCACGGGTGAGCTTTTTTACCAAAAAATAAATCTATCCCTTTGCTTAAGAGATCAATTGGGTCAAGAAAAGGATCAATCCCTTCTATTGTGTGATCGATCCATTCTGTCTCCATTTGCCCAAAATCATTTTTGTTTTATTTATTGAGTTTTATTTTGATTCAAATGCATTTTTTGTAAGATAAAAAGCTAGAAAAATGTTCAATTTCATATTAAAACAACTTGGTTCATGTAATGAAAATTTTATTTTGTCATTTTAAAATACATTGATCAATTCAAGGCTAATAATATCTCTTTTTTTTTATATGATAAAACCAAATGAAAAAAAATTACATTGAAAAATATTTTTCCTTTTGAAAGTAGGCTTCCCCTAAATTTAAGCATAAAAAATATTTTTAATAAGTTAAGAATAAGTAAATAACCATCTACTATTTGTTGGCACATTAAGCACAATATCAAGAGTATTAATAAATACGACAATATCAAGATATTCATTTAAGTGTAAGCCTAAAAATTACTTTCTTTTATAGCAAGTGATTTAAATCCAAAATAATTTTTCCCCTTTATTAGCATTTGCAACAAATTTTTAATTTTAAACAAATAAGCAATATAGACATATTTCATATTTTCTTCTATTTGCAAAACTTTTTCCATTTTTAGCAAATTTTTCGTTTTATATTCCTTTTCTCCCTTTTTGTCATAACAAGAATAGCAAGACAATTAAATGAATATGGTAACAATTCAAGGCAACAATAAACTCAATATATGTTCAAATTAAACAAACTCAATACCACAACTCAATGCCATAGCAAATCAATCAAAATACAATTTACTACGTAATATCAATTTAAACCAACTCCAACATAATATACAAATTGCTATTATGAAAATGAAATGCATATGTCATTAATATAAACGTTAAGTACCAAAGTTTTAAACCATAATGTAACTTGTCTTTAAGAAAATTCAAAACTAAACAAATATATATATGTAGGGAAAACATTTAGGCATGGCATCAAGGATGGGTCACAGTGGCGGAAGATAAGGTGAAAAATGGTGGAAGTATTGGTTCATCTCAATCCTCATTACTTGAATTTCTTCAGTCATGGCATTTTAATTTAGCTCCAAATTTTCAAGATTTGAGTTTATGTCCCTAACAATGCAGTGCAAGCTATTCATTTGAACCTTATAATTTGTAATACACCTTAAGCATTAAACAGCGAACTAGAAAGGCTTATTGAAGGACATCTTGAACATCATGCTCTTATTCTTCTTTTTGCTTAATCCAAAGTTCATTCTTTCTAACCTACAAACCAGTAGTATTTTGTGTATAACCCACACTATGCAATGTATGAATACCAAGAATGCTAAATGGGTTATTAAACACAATCTTTTTATCACTCATAGTGTTAATACCCAATTTCTTTAACAAATTACTTATAGCAAATCCATAGACCAAAGTGTAATATCTATTTTGCACCTTATTCATCATGTTATTAAAGATAAAATGCACAAGATTAGATTTCTTCTTATGTTTGATCTTGTCCATCGACCAATAATCTTGTTTCCTAATAGTTGAATATGCTAAAATATGGGTAACTATAAGGTGCAACAATTTATCATGCATAGGAAGTTTAATGACACGTGTAAGAGTAACTCTCAAGTTTTCACTTTAAAAAATATCCCCAGCTAAGTCCAACATATTACGTCTAGTGTTTGTGTCCTATCATCATTTAGCATAAAAGTTTCAACTAACAATTACTTATTAACCATAATCTTTTTACCCATCACAAAAGTTTTAAACCTATCAAAATAATATTTATCTCCATTTTTTTCAATCTCAATGCATGTAGCATTACTATAGAACACTTTAATTAAATTCTCGTAAACTATCACAATCATGCACAAATAATTCATCTAACCAAATTCCTCAAATACATATAAATAAAAAAATTTTATAGAATGAAGGAAATCAAGAGATATTACATTTCCATGCTTAACCTCCCTATAATTAAAATTTGCTTCATACTTCTCCTTAGCAGCAAGATTCTCGAAATCTCAATCGAATGAAAGCTTAATTGATGAACTAAAAGCCTCTCTTGAAAGATTCTTTATTGGTCCAACACCTTATTTGGTTTTAGGTGCCATGAAAAATTTTAAAAAATTGGATGGATGAAAACAATTAAGCTTTGATGAAATTGATAAAGGAATTTAATAATGTAGTTGACAGGAAATGATATATGTTTATGAGAGACAAAGATATTGAGTGAATGAATGATTTTAAAAAATGAATAAAAAA